AGAAATATTACATGCTCATCTCAAACTTCTTATTACATGTTTGGAATGCAATACCTTACAAAGACCTCACCAAATACATCTGCGCATTAAACATTGGAAAATTCAATTTAAAATTACAAAAGAATCGCACCAATATTTAGAATAATAATTCTTAGATGCTTAGAACTGGTGAGAACAAAATGCCCCAAAACGTTTGAGGATTGCATGCTGGCGCAATGGTCAAAGTGTTCCTTAACACCTGTGTGACCCGGTTCCAGCTACAAAGCGACCGTAACTTGAGGTCACCCCATGTTACAAATCAGTCATCAGCTGCAAAGTACTTCCATATGTTTGAGGAATTAGCTGCCTTTTCCATTCACCAAGTAAGTGACATTGTGATGCCCGGTTAAAGGAACATGGTTTCTGTGGATCTCACAGGTTACATTACACTGCATTTGAGGCAGGTATCACTGCTAACACCAATACTGGGAGATAAATGAGTCACCCTCATTTTAAGTGGCTAATTGCTAACCCCCACAGCCAGCAACTTTGACCCTGATGGAATGTGTACATGTCCCTGTATGTATGTGTAGGTAATGTGAGTGACGCGAGGGGGAAAAAAAAATCTGACTTTCTTTCAGATTAATCAGATGAAGAAGCACCCCATTCAGTCCATTAGCCACACCATGATCCAACAGCCTGCCAACACTAACTAGCTGCCATCACAGAAGTGAAACTCCACTGTAAGTGTGGACCCAGATGTTACCATTTGCTAACAGTCTGTATTTCCAGTTTCAGATTTATTTAAAGAACTGCATTTTGGGAGAGGGAGTGGGAAAACAAATGGTACCTGTATTACCTATAACCAAGGGTGAGTCAGGAAAGGAGATAATTGGAAGGGAGTGGAAAAAAACACCTTATTAACAGGATCCAGAATGGCAAGCTGAGCGCTGGCAAACACCTATATGTAGGACTCTCCTAACACAAATTATTATTATTATTTTTTTTTTTTAAATTTCACAAAGTTTTAGTGCTTTGTCTTAACGATTGCGCAGCACACCACTAACACACAAAGATCAAACTATTGCTTCAGGGGCACCGTCTCCTCAACACTGTTACAACTAATATATTTCCAGCTGGTAAGGGAAAGCAGATGTTGTTAAAATGCTCACTGGACAGACTGCGATCTACAGAGTGGGGGTGGTGGGGGGGGGGGGTGATAAGAAAGAGTGGGAGATCAGGAGCAGCAGCCACCAGCATGAAAGGTGGGAGTCTCAAAAGCCCACTGCAGTTTATCAGACTGCTGGCAATGTCTCGCTGCACTCACACTAGGCTGTTAAGGTGACTTGCGTGCATCACACACCTCGATCATGGCAGCAGTTCGACCTGGAGCACCCTGCACACTTTCAATCGAACAAGGCACTCAGAAAATGCCAGCTGATGTTACCTCAGTGATAATTTATTTTACAGTATATTCTGTAAAGCGCTTTGAGACCTGTCGAAGATGTGATAAGGCACTATATCAAATTTAAGGATTATTATATAAAGATTATTATTCATCAGTGGTAACTGAATCCAAGGTTGAATTACAATCTCTTATTTTGTACACCATGTGCTAAATAATTTCTTTTCCAAATTTACCTAATTCACGCAGAATTATCGTGTGCGTTAACAGGCACCTCTGCTGCCACACCTATGTGGCCTTGCTTCATCTGTGATCCTCCTGTCAGTGAGTGTTTGTAGGCGATTCTACAGTGGAGGCATCACAGACTAACACATTACTGTCTTTATTCAAGGGCACTTTCCAGCATAAGTTACGAGACACTCATCCGGAACAAGAACCCTAGATAGTTTTATGTGGACCCCAGCCAAGAGACGCCAAAGCCAACTGTAATTCCAAGTTTCCATATCACTTATGCAAGGAAATTTCCTATTTGTCTGCAATGCTATGCATACTCTCTCCCCAGAGGGTTGCACCCTGCTGATCTAATTCCAAAAAAGTATTTTGCACAGGTTGGCAGGAGCCAAGGCTAGGGTGTGCATTTGAGTACTGCTGGAATTTAACCAGCTAAGACCACTTAGCTCACCAGTGTCAGCACTGCTTGGAAAGGTTCCCATTGTTTATTTAACTCATTAGGAGTTTGTCCTGCAGGGCTAAATAACAGGAGTTGAGTGGAAAGAATCCCTGCCTCCAGTAACTGATCTGCCCTCCAAGTGTTACCAATGAGCGAAACTGGTTGGCCTGTCATCAGCAGAATGCTGACCACCTAAACGACCTACTCAATGCCAGTATTGTACTGTCAGGCACATCGCCTTGGAGGATAGTCACTAGTTGATCACTGGACACCCTGCATGCACAGATTTGAGCCTCTCACTAGGTGGATAGCAGGTACCAGGAACTTCTTACAAGCCTCTTGGAGACGACACATCTCAGTATGAAACATGTGAGAGCATTACGACCATCCTTTGCCGATCAAGAAACAAATCCTGACCCATTGAGCAATGGTTCCACTCTGCTTCTGAAGTGCAGAGCTTCAAGCAGCAGCTGCTTGACTTTCTGCATGTTAATCAAGGGGGGTACTTAGTAAAGTAGAAGTGCAGGATGATTATCACCTGGCACACACGTGTATGCCTGGTGCTGACCTGTGATGAACCCCTTAAAGTTAGACTTCCTGTACTGCGGTAAGTTCAAACATGTTGAAGAAGATGATGCACGATTTGAACAAGAGAGACAGACATAGCTTTGTGTTCCAACTGGAAGCTTTGCCAGGAATGTGACTAATGGGCAGCAAATGACCCAAGAGCCAAACATTGAGAAGCTTGGCCATAAATAATGCAACTGACCACATTTCAAAATCAGTCATTTTACGTCAATTCATCAAGTTGCACCCACAGCGAAATATAAAAGGGGTTAACTTGCAGGCAATGGTCAAACCTCATCTGGACACCAGCGGTTTGAAATTCGTTTTGTCTGAAAATGAAAGATTGTGCAGAATTGTGGAAAATGATTGAACTCAGTGATAATTCGGAAACTGACTGTTTTTAAAAAGATGGAGAAGTGGATTTTAAAATAACATTGTCTAACAGACAAATGGAGTTTGTGGTCTCTGAACCCTAGGAGAATATTCATGGTCTGCAACTCTTCAAACTGTGTATGCTGAAAATCTGGATCTCTGTGAGATGAAGTGTTTATTTCTGTCTGTTGCTGAAAAAATATCTTGTGATCATATTGATGATGAAAGCCATCCTAATAATCCTTGCATTTGATATACTGCCTTATCACGTTATTGAGATGTCTCAAAGCGCTTCACAGGATATACTTTAAAGTTGATTGACTGTGTCTTTTCCATATCACTCAATCCCAATTTTACCTCCCTCAAGACCTCAAAACTGTTTGACATTTTTTTGTCAATCGGTTACGCATCTCTGTCTACCAGGAGCAAATAATTTTGGTCCACATTTAAGTCAGAAAATCTAGGATTGGGTTTTAAAACATTTTATTTAATGGGACTTTGAGAATCTCAAATATGATGACGAGGCATCACAGTTATCTTGGATTCAGGAAATGGCTCAGATCTGACAACCAAGCGCTTTGTGACAATTACAGAAATTTCATTCAGTGTCTCAAATGCAATGATTGACAGAGAAGCTAATGGAATTAAAACAGGGCACCTTCCAACCCAGGAGAGTCTAGAGAAAATTCATTTTCTGCAGCTGTAAACATTGTCTTTCACCAGGCAGCTCAGATCATACCAGTGTCGAAGTGTTGGCAAGATCTAGCTCTAATGTTGCTCTCAATATGGCTTTTGTCTGTTTGGGAGAAGGGGGTCACTTTTATTCCTTATTTGCTGACACCTTCCAATTCTCCAAATCGTCACTCCGACTGAGAGCCAGCTCTGTATTCTACAAAGACCAGACTAATCGTATCCTCACCAGAACAGACACACACACTTTAGTGGGGGTCATTGGATACAATACAATTAACATTTATATAGTGTCTTCCACATCAGGACTACTGTACCACTTAAGGTCTTTGTCTAAAGTTTTTAACATTGTCATTTACGTACTGTATTGAGAAACACAGCAGAAAGTTCTCCATCTGATGAGCTAATTAACAAAATGTTCCATTCTTCCCACTCCGGTCCTCATGGCTCCAAATTGTTTGGGGTCTAAGCCAAGTACTAGGTTTTTCCTAACAAATTTGTTCAAAATTAAAAGTTTCATTCAGCTGGAATGGAATATTTATTCTGCGAGGCATTGCATCCAATAGACCGTACTTAACCCAATTCTTGCCAGGAATGCCAGGAATTTCTCCCGTTTTCAATTGGGGTTTCCAATGCAATTCACAGAGGAAAGACAAAAGATTTGAAGTGTTGTTTGAAAGGCGATGTGGGAAAACTAAATTGAAACAAAGTAAATTTAGTGCCCACAGTATGCCAGGGCTTTGACGTGATACATCACCCACCGTGTGTGGGGAATGTATTTGCAACTACCCATGTGGCAAGTTTTAATTGAGGTCATATCATTGAGGTAATGGAAGGCGACAGGTATCAGTGGAACTATATCCCAGCAGCAATCAGCATATTCAGGTGATTTGGTGGGGGATGAGGAAATTGAGGGGATAAAGTAATCATAGCCCCTCCACATCTCCAGGAAACCCCATTTATCAGCCCATTGCCCTGGGAAGGAAATCTGACAAAGCACATCTTCATCAAACAAAGCTATCCTGAACAGGCCCTTAAACAAAGAAAGTCTGCTTCTCCAAGGCTGATATCTCAAGTGAGTTTCCTGTTGAAATTTTAGCCACGTTCCCTCAGAATGCTGATCAATGGTGGATAATAGAAATAAAATAGACCCACAATCACACTCCAATCCCACTTGAGATCTTAAACATTCTGATTTTAAAACATTTTTTGGCATTATACTGAGTTGTACTTAAGTCATCTGAGTAACTCATTATTGAAAGCCGTAGAGGGTGAAGCCCACAATCAGCGTGATTTAGGAGAATGAAAGTAACTTACCGTACTGACAGCGGGAACCCTGGAAGCCCTCAGGACACTGGCACACCTGGGACAGTCCTTCAGCGCACTTCCCTCCATTGAAACAGGCACCAATAGCACATGCAGCTGGAGCAAGAAAATACACTGGCTTTGAAATGGCAGATTGTTTGTCATGGATTCAATTAAAAGCAAGGTGCACTTTTAGATAAAAAAAACACTTTCTATTAATATTTAATCTTGCGTGCAATTTAAAGTAAAGTTACCAGTAGGAAATAGATCCCCTCTCACCGCCCCACCCCACCTCCTAGATGATGATCAATATATGATGTGATGAATCTCAATTTCAATACAATGGGAAAGGAGTGAAGAGGAAAAGCATATCCATATGTAGTACATATTGCAAACGTTAAGACACATTTAGAGGCAATCTGGATGCCAATCTCAATTTCACTCTCACCCACTCTTCCTCCTCCCCCCACCCCTCCCCCCACCAAACACACACAGTTACTGTGGTGAAATCAAGACCTAGTGTGTTGCTTCCCTGTCTAAGTTGTTCACTCAGGACCTTAAGATTGAAATACTGACCTCTATTAGTCTTCCCTTCATCATACAGTCTGAATGATCTATGGTGGAGTGGTCTTGAAGGATGAATGGAAGTCTCCTGATCTTAATAAAGATTACCGTCACATAACCCCACACTGTATCTCATCATTCTTGCTCTTTGCCAAAATTAATTTCTCAGTAGCCACAATTCTAAAATAGTTCTGTTGGTACAAACAGCATGGAAATTCTTTGATACATTGGAAGGGCAATGTAACTTACGGTGCAAACACCCCGGCTCCTCATTTTGCTGGTTCCATCCTGGGCAGCACTTGTAAGTAGTCTGCAACTCCATATTGTACACTTGCCTGTAAGCAGTGTAGTAGCCAGTTCTAAGGAACAAAAGGGAAGAGGTTTTTCAATACATCACAAGACAGAATTCATTCACCAATAACAAGGACAGACCATCCATCTGTTTCCAGTAAACTACTCTCTCCTGCAATAACAGTGGATGGATTCCTGTCCTCACTCAGTGAGCTTGACGTTAAGCCAAGGAGAGATGAAGGCGACTGTAGACACAGTTGAAGAGGTGGGTCTTCAGGTGTGATCTGAAGATAGGCAAGGTGGGGGCATGGCGGAGGGGTTGAGGCAGAGTTCCAGAGATTTGAGTTCCAGAGATTTGGGGCATAATGGCTGAAAGCATAGCTGGCAATTGTGGAGCAAAAGGTTTGAGGGACGTGTAGAAGGTCTGTGCCAGCTGAGGGAGCAATAAACTGAGCAAGAATAATACAATTTTAAAACGGATACATTCATCAGAGAAACACAGCCATTAATCCAACAAGCTTTTCCAGTACTGTACTGCCAGCATCAAGAATTGTGGTGAGTTCAATTTTTTTTAAACGTGTTCCCAGATTTGGTTTAAAAAATATGGTCACCTTGCGTGTAGGGTCACTGGAGGTTGGCAGAACCCAATGTTTAATGAGTAACTCACCTTCTTTCATATCCAACACACCAACGCTTGGCAGAGCAGCCCTGTTTCCACACTTTGACCATCCTTGTGAAGGCCTGTACGCAAGGCTGTCGATGACCCACCATCGCAAGCTCCTGTTCTGGACACACGTTGGGCCTGCAATGAACAACACACAGGTCAGAAGTAGCAGTTTCTGAGATTACGTGAACCTCATGATTAGTCTACACCTTGAAAAACATTCCTCAGCAACATATTCTGCTCTTACAACCATCCAAATACCTCAATTTAGATTTGAGTCTGTAACACACTCCTGTATAAAACATGCAGGACTTTTATCACTCAGTACAAAAATACAGTTGCAAACCATCTTCGTAGAAAGTGCACATCTTTGTGGAGTCCTGTAGCTTAGTGGGTAGAGCACTCACGTCACAAGCGAAAGGATCTGGGTTTGATTCCCGGGCAGAGCGAAACGTTGGGCAAGTTTCCTTACTCCACATGTCTCTGGGGTAATTCCTATTCAGTCTTGTGCCCAATAAGTTAGAGAAATCCACTGTAAGTGTCATTAGGCATTATAAGAAGGCCAGTACTATTGATTTCTTCCATAGCCTCCACAATGTGATAGGTTACACTGCATGATAGATGAGTTCCTTTATATTTCTCTACTTGTGGAAGGTGACCTGGGGGAACAGAGTATTAAATCTAATCACAGCCCCATCTGCTTTAGATTTTGTTATTCATAGATATTTAACAGGTAGCCCGATGAGATTGGACATCTCAAACAGAATGGGGTCCCAGGAGAGGGAGAGCTCTGGAGGGGGGAGGGGGAGAGGGATCATGTGGGAGCAATGGCCAGAGGGAGGTGAGTTAGCCTCCCACTCTTTACAGTTAACACTTAGGAATCTTTGTGATGGAGATTTTTTTTCTGAGAGAGAATGAGAAACAGGTGGATCATATTAAATGTCCGATGAACACTTTGATTTATCCCAGCTGGGTCCTTGGGAGCATCATTGTAGAACCCAGATTATAGGTAGCTTCAGTTTATCTGGCACATTCCCCCTCAATTGATTGATTGATTATTAACCAGATTTTCAATTTGAGGGAAAACAGGGAGTGTTTCATTCCCACTACAATATTGCTAACCTTGGTCGCAGAATTAGCCTGTGAACATTCCTTAGATTTCAAATCCTCTGTCTGACATGCTTGTTCCTCCTTCCTTCATCCAGCTGTTGTTGAAACAAGGACTGGTTAAAACATCTCCTCCTCGACCTTATTCTTTCCCAGGACCTCAAGGCTGAGCAGAAGTAGCTGGTGTTAGTGAACACAGGTGCTGTAGCCCCCTCGGGGAATTCTCCACCTTCAGATGAGGCAGCCACATCTCATTAGTTTACAGACTGGTGCTGACAGGGCCGGTGATGAACGTGAGGTTTTTGTTGTAATTGGCATACAGCAGAAAACACTTAATTGTTGCGTTCAACAATATTTTCACAAATGTATGAACATATGACAGATTTACATGACAGAATTCAAGAAAAGCCTTGCTATATCTGGAGACTTCTCTCATTTCTAAATTTCCAATCTCTCTCTCTCTCTGCCACAACATACCCTGTCGACACTGCTACTGTCATGATTGTCTCTCCTCTGACTTTCTCTCATTGTGATCAATTTGAAATTCATCACACCTTATTCCAACTCATTCTTTCCCAGGAAACTCAACACTGGAACTCTTTCTCTTTCTCTAACAAGCTGAAAGCCCAAGCTTGTTACCTGATTAATCTTGTTTCTCTCCTTTTCTTTAAGAAATCCTTGCATTTGATAGTAAGCCACACTTTTGACATTAATGTCTACCACGTCAAAACATCACAAAGCACTTTCTGTTGTTCAACCTCGGTGGTCTCCTGCTCTTAAACTGCCATCAAGCGAAAAAAAACCATTCAGTGGCTTTACACAGAACTGCATGTTACTTTTTATTTTATTATTGTACCAATGAGTCCTCAAGTCCCAGTAACTGCAGCCCCATGTTTGCTTGTGTGCAGTTTACTGCTCCAGGCAGCATGTTCCGCCTGCCGCCAGTTGCATGAGTAATGGGAGATTAATCACATTCAATTTTCCCAGCAGGAAGTGCTTTAACCATTCCCAGATGACAGCACAGATACTGTGGTGCACCTCACTGTACCAGAGAGGCAGAAGTTAAAAACATCAGAGAAACTGAAAAAAAAGACCATTTGGCCCATCAGCATTGACCATGCACAGTCACCCATCATGAATATCCCACCAATCCACTCTGACTCACTCATATTGCCTCATGTTTCACCCACAAAATGTACAGTCACTACACTTTACAGTAAATTCTGTGAAGAGCTTTGAGATGTCTCAATGAAGTGATAAGTCGCTATACCCAATGGAAGGATTATATTATTTATTTACACCTGAAAAGTTCTCCATGCTCATTCCATAAATCCCAAAGAAAAATTGGTTAGCATTCTACCAAAATATCATTTTATCCTCTCAATCCTTCTTGGCTACCTCCCGCTGGTTCTAGCAGGACACAAGTACTTAGAGGAACCAAGGAAAGGCCTATTTTTATCTGAGTATAAAGAGGCAAATCCATCCCACTTTTCCAACGTGTTCCCTATGAAAAAGCACCTGCAACCCTTCCTTCTCCGAGCAAGCCAAGACTAACTGAAATCAAGATTCCTGCCAAAGAGAACGCAAGATCAAACCCATGTCTCATCGTTCCCTGCTGCTCTATCTGCCTGGAACTTATTTATAGTTATTTTATAAAAAGTACAAACTGCACATTGTGATGTCAGCCAGAAAGAGAATATGAGAGACCATTAAACACACTTCCCTGCACTAAGAGATTCTATGGCATCCAGCATTAAATAATTTATATTGATTAATACCATGGACTACCAGTACCCTGTCCTTCAACCCGAACTGCAGCATTAATATCTGACTAAGCAGTGTGAGCACACTCGGCGTAGCACTGGTAATACTTGCATTGTAAAAAATGGCAAGTCACTACATTTTACAGTAAATCCTGTCAAGAGCTGTGAGACGTCTTCCTGCCCTGAAAGGTGCTATATCAAATGCAAAGATTATTATTGTTATTCTACAACACTGTATCTCATCGCGCACCTTTACAGTGAACATTTGTACGAGGGGGGAATGCTTTTCTTCAAAATAGCTTTCTGAGATATTGTACGTTCACCAGAAAAGGAAAACAGAACCTCGGTTTAACTTCTCATTCAACAGATTGTATGTCCAACTTTGCAGCACAAATTACTGTTAGCACAGGACTTGCGGAAGCTTTCTGATTACACGCGTTTGTGAAGTGCTCAGTTTTGCTTAAACATATCTCCAGGAACAAGTGATGTGAAGCTGTCACTGTACTGCAGGATACTGGCTCACATCTCTGCTTCAAACACTGGCTTTGCACCTACAGTTTAAATGGGGCATAATTCATTGATTATCTTATTCCTCGGGTATCATATTACAAAATTAGCAATATCTGAATAGAATGATAAAACATGCAGCATGGAAGATTATACAATGTATACCATTGTGCTCTGATCTAGACCACCGCGCAGTGCCATGATCCATTGAGGAGATTACAATAATACATTGTATTGAAAACTATTCCCAAGACAAAACTGTCTTGCAAAGAGAGCTATATATTGTACTCATAACTAACTGCGATGCATTCAGCTGTCAGCTTTAACCAGCCATTGCTTGCTGTGAAAGATGTCTGTGTTATTGTATTGAGGGTCAATTGCAGACATCAAAAGCATCCCCAGACAGCTTTCATGTTATTGCAGTTAAGGGAGCACAGACATACTACAGTCTTCACACAAGCCACAGTTTTGAAATCGCTTCTAATGGTGTGGTTGCTAGACCTCTGACAGAGTTTGTCCAGCCACCCTTTAAATGATATACTGGGAAGGAGAATGAAGGGCTGCTAAGATTTGGCTGGAAAGCTAACGAATTTCAAATAGTGTCCACCAATCTCAAGCTATTTTCTCAAAGAATATTGAGATCCTTGCATTGGTTCTCAAATCCCTCCATGGCCTCCTTCCATTTGGTCTAACCTTCCCCAGCTCTACAACCCAGCCTGCACTCTGCGCTCTTCTGGCTCAAGATTGACTTCTCACTCCCTCTGCTCTAGTGTCAGGGATTGAGTCTTCACATTATCAGTTGTCAGTTTGAAGAAGGTCCTTTGGTCCATTTTGTTCTTGTTATTCCAAAATATCTGCCCTGCTGTCTTTCCGTCACAGCAACAAATGTTTTTTTCTGCCCTGGTTTCAATTACCTTTCCTGGCAACCTGTTCCAGGCATTAATTATCCTCTGGATTAAAAAAAATGGTGTCTGACCTCAAATTGTCCTTTGCAACTCTAAACCTATGTCTTCTTTTTCTACTGTCTTGGTGCAGTAAAAGTATTATCCTGCTTTATTTTATTCTGGGTTTTACTTTAAACTATTATTTACCTTCATAAGGACCCCCTAAGAAAAGCTCCTTTCAAGACTGAAGAGCCTTATGTTGTTTAATTATTAAACAAAGCTCATTCCTCTAACATTAAGAACCACTAGACTGCCATCCCTACTATTTTCCGAGCAACTTTACTTTGCTACCTCTCCAGCTCTTTACAAAGATCTCTTTAAAAATCCTGTGCCTTCAATCAGCTCTAAAAGCCTCCCACGTCTTGCTCAGTGTCAGCGTTCAAGACTTTCTTTCATGTAAGTAGTACTATATCAAATGGAAGTTGAAGAGGAGCTTCATTAGCTCCAGGACAATAACCTGACACTAAGGTCCCAGCGGCACCACAGGAGTAAGTGGCTGCTAACCTCCAAGCAAAGGGCTCATAATGGTCAATGGGTCAGAGTTCATAGCAATACCACATCATTATGTGATTACAGCCACCCTGACTCTCCAGCACTCAACACACTTGTCTTTCCTCCACATCCATGTCACAAGTGGTCCTGCCACACAACAGGAGATGGAGAAAAAAAAGCAGAAAGCCCCATCTTCTTTGCTGAAGGCAGTCTGCCCAGATTGATCCTAGAGTCTTTCTAACCTATGTGCAGATACTGAGAGTAGAACATTGCTCATTACTCCAGGATCCTGAATACGCACACATCAATAGTGGGTCATACTGATCTCTACAGACACCACACTATGGATTTTGATATTTCCAGCATTTGGTGCTGAATTTGCCACAAATAAACTATTTGAAAATCAGTAAATTACATTTATTGGTGATCAACCTACCACCCAGCTCCTGTATGTACCCCTTTTCTGTGGTAAGTCGTGAAGATAAAATGAGAGAATCAATAGTCACATCATAACACTCCTTCCATCTCGGTGCCTTTACTTTATCCACAGAACCAAATAATTATCGATATGTTCCCTCCTTTCTCTTCCACTATATAGTTTAAAACACAAATCAGAAACTTATATATGCAAATCAGGTACTTCCACTTACATTGTATGCACTATTGGTTTCAAGTATTAATGAAGCTATCTGTCCTTTTTTCCACTTCATCAATGTCTTAATTACTCCTCTGAATATTTCCACCTCCCCTCTCTGCTCCAAAGTACTACAGGTACTCTATCCTCATCCAGTTCAGTTGAATCCAAACTTCATTCCATCATCTCCAATTTAATTAATTCTTTCCCATTCCTCCCCCTACCATCTACAGCCACCCAAACTCCAAGAATGGCCTCACCTAAACACGAATTCTCTTCCCCACATGATTCAACTTTACTCGATGCATCTTACTTTACCTAGAACTCTCTTTTGCAATTAAAAAAACATATCGTTTCCTATTGAACCCAGCAGAATTCCTCCACGTTGTTAGCCACCTACAATCTTCTCTTCCACAGATTAACAGAAGGGTGTCCTGTGGTCCTGTGCAGCCAAACATACCAGAAAAGGGCAAAACGAAAACAGAGAGAAGGGACTTACGACTTATCATTGATCCATCAGTTGCTGACAGTGGGCTGCAGACATCTCAAAACAAAGGTAACGCTGACTGCTGTTTCATCCCATCAGTGGGTTTGGAATTAAACCCAGCGGTACCTTTGATTTGGGGATGCCTGGGGTATACTGTCAGTGACTGATGACTAAAGCAAAGGGCGAGAATATCCCCATCAGACACAGACTGCGGTAGAGTGGGCTCAATGGGGAACGAATGTTGGGTTCAAGGGGGAAAGAATAATCCAACCTGTCAATGCCCTTAAATTCAACAGGACATCCATCCTGCGACCCACAAGACATCTAAGGCTACAAAAAAAAATTAAGACATGCAGACACTAAATATCACATCCCATTCTGTAACACAAACATGACTTCAGTTCCCAAAAGCAAAGTCCGGATAAAACCTCGTGAAAGTAAAACTATATTTTGCATCGGCGACTTTCATTGAAACCGCAAAACTATAAACCTGAATGTCATCAAAATAGATCTCAAATTGCACTTACATGTCAGGTTGAAGGTCCATCCACACAGCCTGTCTGGTCGCAAATAAGTAAAGGCAGAAAAGTACAAACTCCAAATTCATGTCTCGGTCTCTTAAAACAATTCTACAGCGAGAAAGAAATGTGGGACTTATTTCGCTGTGCAAACTGTTCGCGATGAATCTGCTTGTGCTGTGTTGTACTCTGCCGCCCCTTCTTGCTGAGTGTTTAAGCTGAGATCAATTAGTGTAGTCCTTAGCTTGAGATCCAATTGAGTTGGATTCCTGGGCACTTGTTTGCAAAGTTCTCAAAGCAAGGAATCATCTCTTTCCAGAGTTTGTCCTCGGCGTTGATTTGTCTTTGCAGCCTCTGTCTTGGATTTCTTTCCCTGACTTCCCTTTGCTGTGCTTCTCTGTTTCTTTGCAATGTCAGTTTCTGTTCGGTTGCAGCGCTACATTGGAAGAGCACTGATCGATCAATCTGCTCTTTGAATCCTCAACCACCAAACTGCACTTCCGCAACGAACCCCTTCCCCTCCCTCCCCAACATGTGACTCTCCGGAGTCATGGTAACTACATACATACATACATACATGCATACATACTTGTAGGACTGCAGACCCGCACTCCAATTCGAACTTAACTTTCACCTACAGTCGGGATCAATAGTCACTGGAGAGTCAATCCCGTTTATCTAACGCTGTACTCATTTCATTTGCACTCAGAGGTACATTTGCTCGGCAGGTCCTGTCTTTTGTTAAGACCTGGGGTCTGATTCACTGATAACCTGTTTGCCCTTTCACAACTACTTTTTTTTTCCTGATTAATGTATTAATCAGAGTCGGCAGAAATCGCAGCACAGAGTAACTCAGATAGTCAGAATGTGGGGAGAGAGGATGCAGATCTGTCTGCTTCATGGATGTGTGTGTAGGGGAGTCAGATTTTGTCCACTGAGGAGATCCCCCCCAAGCTCATGGTCACTAAAAGGTTGGGGCAACACATCAGAACCTTCACAGGAGTTATAGCGATTAAAGTAATTTGTACAGGGTGTTCACAAAGTCTTGTTACTCCCCTGTTCTTGTCTTTAAATGATTTTTTATTTTCTATTACAAATGAGTCGAGAGTAACAATGTCTGACACCAATAACTTTCTCGTCACCCTATTCATGTTACGGAAGATGTCGCACCGAACATAACGACGGATCATTATCTGCCATGAAGATGATGGCGCTCACATATGGATGTTTAAATACAGTTAAACACTTGTACAGTGAGTCTTATTAATTCTTCCACATGTTCCAGTTATTGGTCAATGCACTGTAGGAAAATAACATGGTGGGGGGGTAACAGGACTTTGAGAACCATGTAAAACCATAGGGAAAGTGTGGGGTTGGAATCCGCACTTTCCACTCAAGCACCATAATTTTTATCACAAATTGCATCATGCTGTCATCTCAAGGAGTGTTTGACTGAATCAAAACCTTTACTAATTACAACAACAACTTGCATTTATATAGCACACTTCACGCTGGGTGGGGTCCCAGAGAGCTTGACAATGACACATAAAATGTTTTCATTCGACATGTAATTTTTCATACAATGTTCTGATACATTTAGTCTTAGTAACAGTTGGTTATATGATGAATAGTTATGGGATGGGTCTATAGCTGGGAGCTTCTCTTAAGAACATAGGAATGCAGTCAATCTGGCTGGTCCCAAAGTCTGACTTTACAGTATTTCTTATACCTTTCAATCACATATAACACCAAACATATTTCCACCTTTCACAACTACTTTTTTGCAAAATTTAAATTTTCAGAAGTTGTTCATTTTCGCTATTTTCTTCCTTCTTGATTCAACTAAATGCCTGTTGTATTACCTTTTTGATTGAATGCAGAATCTGCCTCAACAATGGTTTGTGGCAGAGAATTCCACATTTTAGCCCATCTTCTGTGTTGGGACATTTTTTTCTAACTTCCCCATTGAACATTTTAAGTTGTTACCCTCTTGTTACTGACTCACTGGCCAGTGAAAATAACTTATCATTATTACTATTTACCTTATCATAACCTTTTATAACCCTGAAGATCTCTATCAGGTCAACCTGTAACCTTACAAACACCCATTTGATCAAACTTACAAACCTCACTGTCAGCTGGTTGCAAGCCCCATACATACGGTCTGATCCATGACCACTGTCCCAAGACCAGATCTGTTGAACTCATTTACAAAAAGGTACAGCAGCCCTTTTCTCAATGAGTCAGGAAGCTCAGGAAAAGCAGCATTGCCCCAAGTTTTTCCAAGAAGAATATATCATCTCCTGTGGGAGTTCAGAGCAGAGAATGGATGAGCTGCTCCCAAGACACAGCCCGCACTCGTAATGTATATTCTTCCAAAGTAATGTGATATTGGTTTTGAAAACATACACATGAAAACATCACATTCCTAGTACAATCTATTTTCCAGATATTTCACATGAAGCCGAGCAAGCATTGAGATCAACAAGCACACATCTTATTGAGCACAGTTCTGACTTGGTTTTTAGAGCCAGCCTAGCGGATTTTGGGGTTCCCTTATGAAGTTGGTCATAGCTTCCCCGCTCCCCAGTCTGCCTCTTCCTACAGCACCAATCCTACTAAACAGGGCACACAATGAGATGAAATGTGTGATATTTTATTACTAATTATAGTTCTGTGTAGTATTCTGTGCAGAAGTCAGTACCTTCAACCTGTTCTGCTATGACATCTTCTAAAGTATCCTTAATTGTGGCTGAGCCTTTAGTCATCAGGTTGCAAGATCACAAGATTGGTTTGGATAAAAAAGGCCCTTTGTCCCATTTGATATGATTTTCCCAAAATACCCACCCACCATCTTCCCATCATAGCATCAAGCTGTGTTTTTTTTAATGAATCCAGTTTCCTGGCCTCAAACACCCTGCCTGTTATTCTGGTCCAGTCATTATGTATCCTCTGTGTAAGAAAACTTCCTGATGTCTGTCCTGAAATTGCCCCTTGCAACCTTTGTCCTCTTTTTCTACTATCTTGGTGCTTTCTAAAGTAAAATGCTGCCCTCTGTAAAATCATCGTTGCCTCGCTTCCGCTTGACCTGCCTTCAAAATCTATCCTAAAAACATTTCTTTAAGCATACTTGTTATCAATTTTCCTTTTCCGTGCTCAGTGCTCTTCATCATAAATGTTAAGCACTTTGAGATGTTAGTTCTACTTTGGAAATGTTACATAAATGCCAGTTGTCGTCAGACACATCAAAATGTTAAGAACAAAGTATTTTTCTTTGCGATGCTTGTCAAGATTTAAAGCGGAACAAAATGCGAGGTCAAGTAAAGGGTTTAATAAACTTCCAATGGAAAGGGTGGGCAGGTTTGGTGCTGGAATAGGGGCAGAGAACAGAGAGCTACAGGTCAAATGTTAGGCTCTGGTGCACAAGAAGGAAGAGAATAAATGAGAGGGTGAGTAAATTTGGCCTGACCTCACGCAGTGAGTGGCTAATTCAAGCAAAGCATTGACTTGGGAGAAGGAACACTTGCCTGCAATCTGCTCTTCCACTCATAAAATGGTGCACTGAACCAAAGGTGGGGGGGGGGCTGAAATTGAGAGAGAGAAAAGAACAAGTACTTGCATTTATACAACCCCTTTCACACAGGAAAACATCTCAAAGAGCTTCACAGAGACACAGTAGTAAACATGGGAACTTGAAGTGACAGATAACTATGGTCGAGGATTAATGACCAGCAGGTTTGGCACTTAAACCTCGGGGATGGGCTTGATGAAAGCGCATCATGACAGCTGCATAAGGGGTTAAAGGTGGATGACCCAGCAGGTTCTGTGCTGGAGTGAGGGACAGGGATTTATTCTTTATCATTGAGAAACCCAAGAGCCAAGGCTCAAAGTCCAGGATATTTTCAAACTTGAAAAGAGTCGGGATAGGGTGAGACAAACGAGGTTTGACCAAGCTTGGCGTTTAAAACCCTATAGGAAGAAGGCTTAAAAGAGTGAAGGAGATAGTTGGAACATATCAGTCAAACTAAGAGACAATGCTAGACTTTCAACACAGTGAGGATGTAGGGAGGAAGAAGGGTTGGGTGATATATTTTGAATTTAGGAGGAACTAAAAGCTAAAAATTCACATGAGCAATGCCCCGTAGTAGTAGTAATAATAATAATCCTTGCATTTGATAGTGATATCAACTATCAGATGAAAAGCTTTTATCATATATTGTGCAACCTGTTAAATTACAGTCAAGATTGATAAAAGCTACCACACAGTTTTATACTCAAAAGTTGTGCTAAATGTTATGGAGACATCGATTGCAACTATGAACAGTCTTTGCTGCATTGAACTGATCGCAGTGATCACAGTCCATCTCTGTGCCAGCCCCATGAGAATCTCACACAACCACCAGTAATTGATTCATTTGGTGTTAGTGTTCTCCTTGGATTTCCTTCTCTTTATATGGAGACTCCCTGAATCACCACTTGTTGTGTTCCCATGTTGGTGCAGATAAGTACAGGGAAATTTCACATTGATCATGTGTTCTGTCTCTCGATATCACAGAGCAACCACCTACTTACCTTGCCTCGCCACAATAGTTATCAACCCCCAGCTGACTTTAAATCTGTGCTTCAACGTCCAAAACGCTGCAGATTTAGTGCTTTTAGTAAGAATCTAATAATTTCAAGGCACTTGGTACAGACATGTAGCATGTAACACTAACCTACGGTGGGTCCAATAGAGCTGTACCACTGCCACCGGGTGGAAATTAAGGGAAACAACAGCCAAAGCACAACTAGTGAAAGTAGGACAGCCAATTATCACAGCCACTAGCACCTCCTAAACTCGTCAGTAAATCATTATCTAACATGTCAGGGTCTCCAGTAAGGAAGGGGAGACGAATTGGAGGGAAAGAGGAGATGGAAAGAATTAAAGGGAACGTGTCTCGTCTAACAAACTGCTATATGCAGTATGTCGGCCGCTTAGTGTAACTGAGAACATTGCCACAGAGATCATGTCAGACTCTCAGCTTCTGCAAATTGCATCATATCGGCATTTTGCTTCACTGCAAGCGACATCTGTTTAAATCCTGAATTTCAGGATTGTACAAGTGCAAATTGCATTGTGTAAGGGTCTTTAAATCTATCACAAAAACATAAAAACAAGTCAAAACCCAAAACACTGCAGATGCTGGAAATCTGAAACAGAAACAAGTCAGTCAGCCCATGGTGCCTGTGCCAACTCTTTGAAAGAACAATGCGTATAGTCCCAAACTCTTGGCTTTTCCCCATACTCTTTCACATTTTCCTTTTTCAAATATTTGTCCAAAACGATTATGAATTCTGCTTCAACAACTATCGGTGGTAGCGAATTCCATGTCATAATAACCCTTTGTTTGAAACAGTTACCTTAAAGTCTCCCTTTGATTTTTTTGGTAATGATCCTGACTCATATCATATGTCAGTGTGGAACACTGTTCGAAAGATCAAATTTGACATTGGCAGAGATGCTCTGTTTCTTTGGATGCAAGAAACTTTTCCTGCTTCAAAACAGAAGTAAATGTTTGCATTATTTTTCAATGACAGAATGGGTTTAAACAGAAAAAATCTGGACTGAAATGCAGAGGCAGAAAACATGGATGTCAAGGTATCTTCCTCCCAGCATCATGCCAAATGTTAGGTTCAATTTTATGGTTGAGATGGGATGTTCGATACAACACTGTGGTTAAAATCGGATTACACTGAACCGCCTTCACACCACAAGAAACGACACCCTGACATCTTTACTACGTGAGTAACACTGAGTGGAAAAGCAGCAGTAAGCAGCACAGTGATGGAAAACCAGTCCCCTGTGGAGCTCGATGTTACTGTTTGTCGGAGATGGTAACAAAGCCTCTTTGTATAACATCTAAAATCATGCAACTAAATACGATGAATCCAATTAATATTCAACTCGATTCAGAACAGTTCTGAACTGCAACCTCTTAGTATCTCTGCTGGTCAGTAAAAAATATGCCAGTGTAGGGTGGGGAGAGACTATTCCTATAGGGACAGTGATCTCAATGCTATCCATCTTTCAGATGAGACATTAAACTGAAGTCCTGTCTAGGTAGACGCTAAAGATCAATGGCACTAGTCAAAAAGAGAAGGGAGCTCCTCCTGATGTCCTAGCTAACAATCCCCCAAATAAAATTTGTCAATAATTTCATAGCTGTTTATGGACATTGCTGTGTGCAAATTGGCTGCCGCAATTGCCAACACATACACAGTTAATATTCTTAACAGTAAATTTTTTGAAACGCTTTGAGATGTCTCAATGACATGATAAGGCACTATTATCCAATCCAAAAATAATATTAATATTTAATGTCTGATGTCCCACATTCCTAAGTGGGGGAGCTGTATCAACCTTGCCAGGGAGACATAGGGAGGTTGAGATCCAGGGAAGCAACTTAATGAGTGCGCTAAGTGTTGATTTCAATCCAGTCAGGAAACAGAAAGTAGGAAAACATGGAGAATGGCATGTTGGAGCTTGAAGAAAAGTGGGGAAAGGTTCAGATGCATAATGATCGTAACGGTATGAACAGACCACAGAAAAATAGGAACGGTGGTCGTGGAGTGGGTAGAGGTTGGAAGCCAGAAGTCAAAGAAGGATCATTTATCAACAAGCGTTTAAGTTCTGTCCTGTCCAGACATCTGTGAGAGGAGTTAGTAAAGTCTCTCTAGATAAAGGAACAAATTACTATAATGCTCTTTTAAAAGGCAGTTCACGTAGAACAGATTGTTCTATTTACACACTAGTATCAATGTCCCCTGTGTATTGGTGCCTATGTGTCAGCTGGAGCTATGGAGCATCAGCTATGTTTTGCTGAATCTCCTCTTGTTTTTCAGTCTATATATAGCAGGAAGCTGCTCACTTATGCTCCAAGTGCCTGACTATGGAGCAATGGTGAATAATCCCACCACAGTACATCCCCATCCGAGCCAGAGGGCTGGTCGCTTGTCCACAGAGAGCGAGGGTGAATTGGTGGGTGCTTTGGTGGCATCTCCAAACCTAACAGCTCAAATAGCGACACTGGCACAGGGCTGGCACCAAGTTGCTCAATGTCCCTCAACCAGGCGGCGACCTGAGGTGTCAGGAGGTGGGAACAAAGTCAACTGAGGGAGAAACAAAAGGCAATCAAATAGTTAGGGAGAAATACAATTAAAACAGAAAATGTGCTGATCTTAGTCGATCTGTCCAGTTCAATGTCCCCATGAATTGTACCCACATGATTGGAAGAAAATACACAGCCTCAAGCCACGCTTTGACTTCCCAGGTTGTGGATTATTAAAATAGAATAACAACACTTTACTCCAAGGCCAAGGGGAGACTGAGCTGAGGAGCCACCGCTTCAATGTCACTCCTCCCCGCAGCACTGAGAGACAAGGACATCAATGCTGAACTGAAGCCGAACAGTTTTCTTGATATGAAAGAGAAATAAACTTGAGGTTGGGGCGAGAGCTGAAGCTTTGGGAGTCAGTGACAGGAGAGCTTACACTGGGGGCGCCTGCACAGTGCTGACTGACTGCATTGACTCTCACAGTTGTGTGTTTGTGTGTGTGTGTGAGTGAGGGAATGAGTGTGTGAGTGAGTGTGTGAGTGAGTGAGTGTGAGTGAGTGCGTGAGTGTGAGTGAGTGAGTGAGTGTGTGAGTGAGGGAGTGTGTGAGTGAGTGTGTGAGTGAGTGAGTGTGTGTGTGTGTGTGTGTGAGTGTGTGTGTGAGTGAGTGAGTGAGGGAGTGAGGGAGTGAGTGAGGGAGTGAGTGAGTGAGTGAGTGAGTGAGGGAGTGAGTGTGTGTGTGTGAGTGAGTGAGTGAGTGAGTGAGGGAGGGAGGGAGTGAGTGTGTGAGTGTGTGTGTGAGTGTGTGAGTGAGGGAGTGTGTGAGTGAGTGTGTGTGTGAGTGAGTGAGTGAGGGAGTGAGTGTGTGTGTGTGTGTGTGAGTGTGTGAGTGAGTGTGTGTGTGAGTGAGTGAGTGAGGGAGTGAGTGTGTGAGTGTGTGTGTGTGTGAGTGAGTGAGTGAGTGAGGGAGTGAGGGAGTGAGTGAGTGAGTGAGTGAGTGAGTGAGTGAGTGAGGGAGGGAGTGAGTGAGTTGCTGGGAATCCCTCGGGGCTGAGGTCCAACCTGTGGCTGTTTGATCGCTCTGATGGCGTGTGCGCGGCTCCGGTATATAAGGAGGCGCTGCGGGGACTGTGCACTGGAGACCGACACACACACAGCGAGTGCGACTGTGACTCACACCGACCCGCACCTCTCCAGCCTCGGCCCGGCCCCCGGGGTAAGTGATCCACCGTCAGGGGCGGGTGTGGGCGGTGTGTGCCCTTTGCTGGTGGGTCCCGGAGCTGAAGGCTGATCAGTTGCTGCCGTCTCTGCTGATCAGTCACCGGATGGTCGAATGAATGATGAATGAATGAATGAATGAATGAATGACTGCGCGGATCTGTGTGTAACTGTGACCCGGTGTCCGGCCCCGGGACTCGCCTCCTTCTGGGGATCAGTGGCCGCTGCTGTTTGCTCTGATCACAATGTGGGCGACTGGCACAGGTCACAAGTCGCCCGGACAGGTTTGCAAGCCCCGGGCAGTGGGAGCTGCATCGACCTGATTCACTGACATCGATTGCAAACCACTTGAAACGAAGGCTGAAGGTTTGATTTCACGCTCTCAGTCCGATTGGAAAAGCTTTTTGAATGAGTTTAATGATCTGCGATTAATTCACACGGAGAGAACTCGCAACTCGGTTTAAGCCGAATAGACAGATGTGTTTTTATTGTACAGCGTTGGGACAAACAAACAAACCCTCGACATTCAGAATGAACAGAAATACATCATTTCTGTTCTGATGTCAGTGAGACTTTGCTCGTGTCGGACTGTGGCTTTGCTCGGGTTGTGGTGTAAAGGACTTCATTGAGAAACGACTGTTCCTCCAGTTCTGCGGGAAAGCAGTTCGGGAGCGACTGAAGAGTGTTCCACATTTTCTGGCGTTCTTCAATTTTAAGACTATGATTTTAAGCATAAGATCAGGTGGAATGTTGAGACGGGGATGGAAACCTTAGCTGTTTTTTTCCCCTCCTCTACCCCAGGGACACTCAGGTTAACTTAATGCCCACAACCACAACACTACAGAATAGGTCATCAAACTTAGTAGGTTGTTTAGCAATAGCAGTTTGGTTTGTCTACAGAAACACAGTGGCTGCATTTCACAGTAAAATACAGTGAAATAAAACACAGTAATAATAATATTAATTGTATTTCCTTGTATTTGATATAGTACCTTATCACATCTTTGAGACGTCTCAAAGCGCCTCACAGAATATACTGTAAAGTGAATTGACTGTATATTTTGTGGGTGGAACGCGGTAACCAATTGAGCACAGCAGTGTCCAAGAAACAGTCATGGATTGAGTGAACAAATTATTATTATTTTTGGAGGGATTATAAACCACCTCGAGGTCCTCACTGTCTCTCTTCCCGTTTCCCATTCAGTCATTGTCAGAGCGATGCAGTTAAGGGGATCTCTGTGATTATTTTGTGTTTCAGGTGCTCACTAGACATTAACATGCAGGAGATGCTGTTGACCCTGTTGGTCGCCACCCTCTGTTTCACCAAAACAAGAGTGCGAGCCAGCTGTGCCAATCCACGGGTGCAAAAAGAGTTCAACATAGAGGAGGTTAGTGACATTAATGTGTTCAGTTTGTACAATTGAGCGGTTCCTTCTGCAAGGCCTCTGCTGAGGCCAATGACTGGTACAGTGGTTTATACACTTTGTACCCATGGGTGATCATCTTTAGTGAGTGGAAATTGAACGCTAAACATCATTTTAAAAGAATAATTTTTGTGACTGAGTAGACATGACGGGACAATGGAATCATTGTCTGTCTCTGTGTTACAGGTAAGTGTTCTTTATTCTGGCTCCGTGCTGAAAGCCTTCTTTTATTTGTTAAAACCAAGCTCTGTAAACCTATCACCTCCAACCTTGCCCGGTTCCGCTGACTCCCCATCCCCCAGAGGATAGAGTTCAAAATCCTCGTCCCTTGCTCCTCCTTATCCCTGTGCCCTGCTAACTGCATCCTGACCTGTCAGCTCACTCCGCTTCAAGCCCCCTCTCAAGATGTTACTCTTCGATCGCACCTTCGGTCACACTCGTAACCCCACCCTCCCTGGTCTCCACCCCTCCTGATCCCAACCCCAAGCTTGGGTGCAAATGTTTAACTGTCTTGGGTTGTTCTCTCGACAAATTTGTTGTTGTAAACGTGATTATGTTTACCAAAGGAAAATTGGCTCATGTATTTTCAAAAAAATAACTTTCATTTTAAACGCCATTCATGTAAATGAACTTCCTCTTACATTTTAGACTTTTTTACCCAAGTTTGGTATTACTCCTCAGCCATTGTCATGTCTTGGATGTCATGGGCCTTGATCCTTGACAGAGCTGGCTCAATTTTAAAAGAAATCTAAGTTAGCGTTGTTTTCTGAATGATCCAAGCACTCAGCCATTGTTCCTTCAATTTGTTTTATGGTTTTACTCCACAGTACGTGGGCACATGGTATGAAATTGAAAGACTTTCTCCAAATGGCAAAGCACCAAAATGCAGTTCAGAAACATACATGGACGACTCAAATGGAATGCTTCGGATTCTCATCCAGGAGATTACGTGAGTATTTAGAGGGAGTCCTTTGTTCATAGGAATCATAGTTAAAGGAGATTTAGTGTGCAAGGACTTTTCAAAGCTATTTGAAGTTTCTTTTTATTAAAAAAGGCATTAAAACTTGAACGACTGTTGCAACAAATTTAAATTGTTGACAAAGAATTTAAATTGTTAGCTGATTAACAAAAGTAAAGAGTAAATAATGCCATTGTTACCATTGTACTTGACATGTGTAAATACCCCCAAAATGACCATAAACATTTAAAGAATGGAAACTGTGATAGCCTCACAACAATCAGTGTCACAACCAATCTCAAACTGTACTGTTAATCTCCAGGAGTTCTTCAAAAGTGCAGCTTCATTTTTTTTGTGAACATCTAAGGGATGAATTTGCCATTGGAAAGGTGGGTAAGGGCTGTTACTGTGGACCTCTCTCAAAAAGAGCCGCAATGTACATCTTAGCTTCCTCCGTGCTGGCTAGAGCGCTTGCCTGCTGATCCTCTGCCTCTTCAACAGACGTCTGAGTATCATTGCTAAAAGTGCCACTCTGTCCTGGTTGATGGAGAAAATGGCTTTTTGAATACTGGGCAATGCCACAGGAATAGTTGAACAGAAGGAGACCTGAAGGAGAAGCTGGGGTTCTACTGGACCAGCAAAAGTGAAGTAGATTCCTTGACAGCATCCACATGTTGATTGTACAAAACATGTTGGGGTACATTCAAAATGGCTCCACAGTCACAGTACAAAGAAGGGTAGGGTGAGGTGGCTGGGATCACTGTGTAACCATTACTAACTAAATGACTCTGCACTTTGTGAAGGAAATTTTCAGGCTACTCATGAGATCCAAAGATCCTGTTTTAGTGACTCCAGCAAAAAGACCACCAAAATCCAGAAATATAATTTCACAATTTTGATGAACATACATTGTGATAAGCTGTTTTTTGTCAAGCCGCAAAGCATTTGTTCATCTCATCCGGAAGGAGATAAGATGATGTTTTCTCAATGCGGGGACTCTACAGTGGCTCCTTTCAGAAGTTGGGAGTATATAAAAAAATGACTGCGTTCTCTCCCTCGTCCACACCTCTGCCATAGAACATCCAGCAAGTATGATCTGGTGTATTCTTTGTGTATTTCATAAATTTGATTATTTTTGAAAAGAGAAAACCTGTTATCGATGTAGCATTGAGTGTAAGATGTGACTCTTTCATGATAAAGCATTCTCAAGGTCAGCAAAATGAAGACAACCTCTCATTGCTAACTGCAGAAAAAGATCTCAGAGGGAAAAGCTGTAGCACAGAAATCTAACATTTGCCTAAGAGACAGATTTATTACTGACACAGCAAAAAAAAACACTGTGTTCAACTACTAAGCATACAAAGTCCTTTGAGGAAGACCCTTAGGAACAGAAAGTAAGCTCAGAAACTGAGAAGCTTGGAAAGAGTTGGAGAAGTTGAGGTGGATTTCCTACAGCTAGATCTTGTAAGTGCACTCTCTCCAAGCCCATACATAATTGTAGAACATAAAACAAAATGTATCTATTTTGAACTATTAATTTCACTAATATAGTTAAACCTGTTCAAGTAACCACCTCCATTCAGCAACCACCTTTTGTTAACCATCACCTTGGAACAGCTCGGACAAAAATTCTAAACAGAATAACAACAATAAAATTACCAACAAACCCTTACTCAGAGGTCACCCTCATATAAAGGCCATTTTGGCCCAGTCGTCTGAAGGCAGGTTCGACTGCAGTCCAAAATATATGCTATTCAGTATTTGATTAGTCACAACCATTCAATAAACATTAATTTTCTCTGTACTTAGTGTCAATGTGAAAGTTCCATGATGCAGTCTTGATATTCTGCTTTTCATCTCTGCATAGATGGTTCTCCAAAACCTGGAGCTGAGGAACAAGAAAGCACAAGTCACATCTCTGAAAGCATCAGTGCTTGTTACCACTACCATACTGTCCTGAAGGCACTGACTCATGCTGTGGGCCAAACTGATTATGTGGATGTTGGACAATATCCATTATTTCAGCCAAGTGGCCATTCTTTATGTGTGACCCAGATAGTGGCAGGGTTGGCAGGTGATCAGATCACTGGGGCAATTCACTGTCAAGACCCGATCCTGACCAAACTCAACTTCCAGCTACGTGCTTCACAACAGCTGGAGCATTGATACTTTCTGCTGAAGCCCGAGTGATATAAACATCATTGCCTGAGTCCAATATATTTGTTCTTGTCTTTTGTCCAGGGAAAATGGTGAAATGGTGAAGTATGATGCACAGATGTTTAAGGAGTCGCAGAAAGAGCCAGCCAAACGGATCATTATACCCTGTAAGTGCATGAGAATGCAGATTCGGAACAGCCACCCACCATCTTCATACATTTCAAATACAATTAAAGAAATTCACCTCAATGACATTAAATTTGTGGAGTCCTGTAGCTCAGTGGTTAGAGCACTCGCTTTGCAAGCGAGAGACCTGAGTTCAATTCCAGGCAGAGGGCGAAACCTTGGGCAAGTTTCCTTACTCCACACAGAGCCTAATAATAATCCCTCCAAAAACAAAAATAAATTGGTCATTTTCAATCCACGACTGTTTGTGGGACATTGCTGTGCGCAATTGGCTGCCGCGTTCGCCCACAAATATACAGTCAATTCACTCTACAGTGTGTTCTGTGAAGCGCTTTGGGACGTCCTCCCGACGTGAAAAGCGCTCTATCAAATGCAAGGATTATTATTATTATTAAATCAAGGTTCCATCTGCCTATTCAGGTAGATGTTAAAGATCCCATAGCACTCTGAAAAATATTTATTCTTGTGACCTGGCCAACAATCTTCTGGATAAAATTAGTCATTCATGTCATAGGTCTTTGTGGGACATTGCTGCCCGATTTACCTACAAAATACAATCCTTATACTTTACTGAAAATCCTGTAAAGCATTTTGAGTCAATTTGATGATGTGATAAGGTACTATATCAAATGCATGCATTATTATTATATTCTTATCTTGGGAGAGAGTACAATCTTCCTCAGTCAACTTCAATTCAGAGTTTTTTTTAAAGGTGAAAATGGAGAGAATGAGTTGTAAAAGTTATCTATTTATATGTGATATCATTGCATTTTACTTTCTAAGTTTTGCCCACAAAATTACACATTCAATTCATTTTTCAGTATATTTTGTGAAGGCTTTGAAATATCTCAATGACATGATAAAGCGCTATATTAAATGCAAGCATTATTATTATTATAAGTTTGTGGCTTAGGGTGTGTGAATGATGTAGGGAATTTATAATATGTAAAAAGTAGAATTTTTGGTAAATATTGTTTTCTTGTCATTTTTATTCAGACGATGATCATCTGTCACAGATTCCCTTTGGAGGTACTGTCCTGTATCATCTATCATTGACTGTATCAATATTTCTAATTCATTGTAATATTTATAAGTTTTCTTATTTCTTGGCAATTCCTTGTAAGTGAATACCAATGAAGCTAAAGCAACATAAGTTAAGACTCTCCACGAGTTCCCTTTTTAAAGAAGGCCTCTCACCATCAGCTCACCAAACAGTAATAGTTTTAAAATGCAAAGGATTACTTTGTATGCCCACAAGAAAGTAGGGAACAACAAGGTCCATTTTGCCAATCAAACCCTATTGCCATTAGATATCTACCCTATTAGCAGTATTACCCTAGTAATGTTTCGCCCTCAAAATACACACGGAATCTACTTAACAATATATTCTGTGAAGCACTTTGAGATGTCTCAATGCCATGATAAAGGCGCTATATCAAATGCAAGGATTATTATTATTTTTACTACTGTCCCAAGCATTCCATTTCCTAGAATAATACCTGTGCACGGAATTCCACCTGAACCATAATGCCAGTTTGGTAAAAATGTTATTCTATTTAAACCTACCTTCCTTCACTCCACTAGAAACATTAAACTCTGTGCCATTATCCGATATGAAGGGTGCTATATAAATGCAAGTTGTTGTTATTAACCTCCTCCCTCCCTCCCCCCACTTTATTGACTGCTTGGACAATGCTGGCTTCATACCAGTTTAGTGATAATGTGTTCTGTGCTGTTTTCTTAGGTATATCTGCTGCATTGAATTACTTTGTGCTATCCACTGACTATAGAAATTATTCCTTGGTGTATTCCTGCCATGGGTTTCCAGGTAAATATTCTAACAAAAAGGCCTGGATTTTATCAAGAGAAAGGACGCTATCTGCAAATATCACTAGCCGACTGCGTAACATCTTGACTTCAAACAAAATTGATACTGAGCACATGATTGTAACTGATCAAAGCGATTGCCCTTCATTTTGAGTAGGAACTTATTTCAGGCTCCACAAATCATGCCACCCTTTCAATTCATGATTTATATGGTTTGGTATTGGCATCATTCTGTAATATTTGTTTCCCAATTATTGCCCAAGATCAATTATTCTCTCTTTGCTTATTGGCTTCAATAGTGGAGTGTGCTGAACACTGTTTTGTTTTGTGTATTGCAGCGCTACTAGAAAATCTGTACCAATATCTGTTATTTTAAGCAAAACAATAAAATTATACTGGTGTTTATCTTATAATATGCTGTACAGAGTCTGTTTAAATAGGTTTCCAATGCTCTGGTGATCCTTCCAGATATTGCACACATAATTTCATCTTTATCCATACTTTTCTGCCTATAGTCAATTACCTACAAACTCGGGTATGATCCAAGCAATATGTTGCAATGGACCAAGCACCTACCTACTCATTCATTCTCATTATGTAGAATTCCAATAAACCAAATCCCTTCCCAAACACTCCCACTGTGTAGGTTTACAATGTTCCAAACCTTTTCCTGTTCTACAGAATCCAAGTGGATCAAATCGATCTCCATTCATTCCTGTTGAATAGAATCCGATTGGACATAGCTCCTTCTCATTCATTCCATTCTGTAGAATTGAAATGGATCAATTGAATTTCAAATCACTCCAAACTGCCTAAGCTTCCAGTGAGCAAGCCATTTTCCAATTCTTATTAACAATTTCAACATTGGCTAATGGTCAGCTGGGTATCTGACAAATACCCAAACTAGACTAAAAGTTCACATATGTATGCTACCTAAGCATATAAATTTCCCTGTGTCTGGATTGGATTGCACACTCTCTCTCAGGAGGGGTAGGGTGGGAGCCAAGGTTATCGAGAACCCAGAGTATGCTGGAGTTTAATCAGCTAAAACTGCCTAGCCCTGGCTGGCAAGCTTCCTGCTGGCTTGCAGTGCTATCAGAAGCTCAGTGGGAAGAATCCCTGCCCCCAGTGTCTGGTCTGCCTCTGAAAGTCCTGACGACGAACCAGGCTTGCTAGTCAGACATCAACAGTGCCTTGGAATACTGTGGACCTGCCTGCAGCAGTAACCAGCCTATTGAAACTACACATTATTAACTCAATTCTGATATTCCATTGCCAAGAACATCACCTTGGTGTTAGCTGAGCTCCAAAGAGATCCTGCTTACCTCCAATGCCAAGAGGATAGTGACTACTGGTTGGTTATTTGAATCCCAGGTTTAACAACAACATTGTTGTTTGAGCCTTCAGTAGGTGGATAAAAGGTACCAGGAACTCGCTGTTTAACATTCATTAGCAGTTCTGACGAAAGGTCAATGACCCCTCTCTCCATAGATGCTGCCTATGTGTTCCCAGCAGCTTCTGTTTTCATCCCTGTTTAACATTTATTAGCAAGATAATAATGTTTTCCTTTTCATCCAGAAGGCATGAACTAATGTTGGTGTATAGGTCCATGCATGTTGAATGCCCTCCACTGCTTCAACCAAGAACTATTATTCATGTGTATGTGAGTGTTGTTAGTTAGTGATAATGGGCATCATGGGCCAGCCCAATATTGCTCTCATCCAATAATCTTCCACACAGGGGTCACATAACGGCATTAAGAAGCAGAAACTACTGCTGTTTATTGCCCACCATGGGAACAGAGGCCGATTGTGATCCTTCTGCTACAACAAGGACAGAGATAAGAAAACACAGCATAATCTGGAACCTTCCCATTCTGCTCATTCACACGCAGCAGTGAACTTGAATCATTTGAGCTCCTGTTATGTTTCTTTCTAGTCTAGATTATATGATTCGAGGATATAGTAACTTGTTTTAGAATTGGAATATCTTGTTCAGTCTGAGTAAAATTGGCTGAACATGAATTTATATAACAATACTTGCATTTGATATAGCATCTTATTACATCATCAAGATGTCTCAAAGTGCTTCACAGGATATACTGTTAAGTGTATTGACTGTGCATTTTGTGAGTGCAAAAAATGAATTTGTGCATGCAATAATTGTCAGGATCATCAGAAACAAGTACAGCTTATCAGAACATAAATACCAGTTTAATTTTATATTTTGGTTGCTGAAAATAACAACATTGGTACAGATTTTCTAGCAGTGTGGTAATACACAAAGCAAAATGACAGCTTGCAGCACGCCCCTTTACTGATGTAGATTCAAGCTACAGTACACTTGTGTTGAAGCAAATAGAGATGAGAGAATAATCAACTGTGGACAACACATCTCACAGAATGACATCAAAACGTCTGAACTGAGTCGAAAATGCTGAGATGATTTGTGGAGCCTGAAATCATTAGTTTCATGTATATCCTGAGTCAGTTATTCTATTTACACCATATTTTGATAGCGAGAGAAAGGAGCTGATCCAAATTAGTTATAACATGGGAAAAAAAGCCTCTTGCTTTGAATCATGCTCTTTGAGGCATTGCTGCACCACCAGGGTTTCATGATATGCTGGTTTGCGTGCAGTGGCCAATGTGGTTAATCGGCAGCTGTGTTTTGCAGGTGTTCAGTTTGGGACTATTGGTTAAAACAAAAATCTCACTGGATTCATATTTTAGCATCTCCAAATATGCGATATAATCCCATTTCTACTAATTCAGTTGCAAAGTACAACAAAATAAACTAGAAATCAGCTGAATTCAATACAGGTTTAAACTGCTGATTTTGCTGAAAAATGTCACCCCCTCCTAGATAAAAGATGAGCAATCCTCGTGATCGACTGTAGCTATATTCTTGGTGGCAATGTTATATGAAGCCAGGATTTCATGCAGTTGATTAGTGGTATTTTCAGGAAGATGCATTTGTCTTGAGAAAATCCAGTAATGATCTGATTGTGTGCTAAAAATTCCGAGGTTCACAAAGCAGGAATACACCAAAGAATAGTTCTTATAGTCGGTGGATAATACCCAATACGGAAAATCTTGATCAGGAAAAATAATAAAATACAGACATCAAATGTGGAACAAAACACTGTCCATTAACTAAACAGTCAACAAAGTTAATTTAATCTATCTAGATATTTTTATTTCAGCCTCATTATTAAGACTGTAGGAAAACAGTAGGTGGTGATTTTATTGCGGAAACCACAACTTTTAACACATACCACAACATTTTATAGTTACCGCAAAAGTTTAACGATTATATTGAGTAATCATTGAAAGTTGGTAGAATGGTCCATGTTCTTTAAGAGAACAACAACTTGCATTTATATAGCACCTTTCATGTCAGGAGAACCTGCTCCATCTTTGGAGTGCGCATTGAGTGATTCTGCTAATTGATTTTCATTTAGTAATTCATACCAGTCGCCAAATGAAAGGACTTACTAAGAAATAAGACATATTATGCATATTACAGTGAATTGTAAAAACCTCTTACATTTTATAAGAAGTTTTAACAAGCTCATTGGTATATTAAGCAATTTATTATTTATACATGGATAATTCTAATACATACCTTCAAAGGATGGTTTGAAAGGTGATGCTGTATGTGGATTAAAAATAAAAGAAAACGTTATTTGCCAACAATTTAATTTGTTATATAGCAATAGTTCCATTTCAAACATGGAATATTACTCTAGTTTTCAAACATACTCTCTCTCCATTGCAAACATTCTGGTCTTTCTTAGTAATTTTTCCAGTTATGGTCATAATTCCTTTGAACGTTTCTATCTAGGTTCTCCAATCCTCTAACAACAACATGATTCCGTTTATAGAATGCCTTTCACGTCGGGAGGACGTCCCAAGGCACTGAACAGTCGGGTTGGGACCCGAGCAGGGGGGAAATGGTCAGGGTGAGGGAAGGGAGGGAGCGAGGAGGGGGTAGAGTGTCGAGAGGGGAGCTGAAGGCACGGTTGAAGAGAAAGATCTTGAGACCGGCCTTGAAGGAGGAAAGGGAGGAAGCAAGGCAAAGGCACTGGGGGATGGAGTTCCAGAGCCTAGGGGCTGAGAGGCTGAAAGCCCGGCCACCGATGGTAGGGCAGGGGATATGGAGCATACCGGAGCCAGAGGAACATGTATGAAATATACTTTCTTATATGTTTTACCCCACTCCTTGCATCCTCACTGTTTTTAAATCAAGGTGCATTTGTTCCCAAAACCTCAGCAGTATAAAACTTCTGATCTACCTCAGTCTTCCCTTTCTGGGCTGGTAGCTCGAAAATAGAGAGATGAGTTATCAGGAATGATTAAATTAGATAGATTATTTTGCCTTGAAAAGAATTGTCTCTGAGAGGACCTTGTAGATGTATATAATATGCTTAACAGGTTACAGAAAGTAAACCCAAATTAATATTCTGATATATCAAGATAGCAAGACCAAAGGATACAGGTATAGGAGAAGGGCAATTTCAAGACACCAAGAACTGTTTCATTACACAGAGTAGAATCAAAAGCTAGACAAAATTACCAGGAAGATAATGATAGTAATCCTTGCATTTGTTATAGTGCCTTATCATAATAATAATAATAATTCTTGCATTTGATATAGCGCTTTTCACATCGGGAGGACGTCCCAAAGCGCTTCACAGAACACACTGTAAAGTGAATTGACTGTATATTTGTGGACCAACGCGGCAGCCTATTGAGCACAGCAATGTCCTACAAACAGTCGTAGATTGAAAATGACCAATTTTATTATTACTTTTGGTTTTGGAGGGATTATTATTAGGCGTGTGGAGTAAGGAAACTTGCCCAAGGTTTCGCCCTGCCTGGAATTGAACTCAGGTCTCTCACTTGCAAAGCGAGTGCTCTAACCACTGAGCTACAGGACTCCCGCTGAGATATCTAAAAGCTCTTCACAGAATATACTATAGATAATAATAACAATCCTTGCATTAGATATTGCGCTTTTCATGTCTTCTAGACGTCTCAAAGCACTTCAAACTGTGTATTTTGTGGGCGAAATGCAGTAGCCAATTGCGCATAGCGTCCCTCAAACAGTCGTGGATTGAATGACCAAATTATTTATTTATATATTTTGAAGGGATTATCACCCCCTTCATAATAATAAGGTGAGTGCAGTAATGAGTAATGAGACTACTGCGCTCACTCTTTTTACTTGAAATTGATAATGACCAAAAATCTCAAACTCACTGACAAAATATTTATCTAGTTCTATAGCAGCAGGAGTAACAAGAATTCTTATGTGCCACGCCAATTCTTCATGTACGTACTAGAACTGTAGAAAAGTTTAGCTGGCTCCTTTGTAGAGGTCGGATATAGCTCTGCGTCGTGTGACTTCACCTTTTTATCTCTGGATAAAAGACAAGAAAACAGGAGTAAAATTCTGGTACTGTTTCTTTCACATTTTCTAGTCTCAGACAGGTGCTGCTGCCTAACAAGAAGCCATCAGATACATATTCCAAGGTGGGGTAGCAGTGTCGGTGTGTAGAACATGACTGGACTTGGGAACTAATGGGATCATTCAGGCCTTCATCCCCTCAAGGTTGATAAAATGAATACTATATCTAGAAATATCTTCAAATCTCCTCCTCAGAGAGGAGGAAATAAGTGGAATTTCCCTGGGACTAACCTGACTCTGGGGAGACACTTGGTCAACAAAGTCACACTGATCACTTGGGAATTTTCTGAAATTCCCTGCAATAATAAATTTGAAAACAAAGGTTTTAAGACTAGAACCAAAAGATTTTGGGACCTCAGTTCTCTAAAATTTTATGATAGGAAATCCCAGTGTAAAGTTATAGCAAATTAACTGATATTTTGAAAAATCGGTGAGTCAATACTGAGTGAATGATGCATGTTAAACTTTAGATGCACTAGGAATGTAACTGGTTGGCAGAATATTGACCTTCTAAAGGGTGCTCTGAAAGTTACCAAAAATCCACTGGATTGAATACGAATTGAAAAGCTTGAACTGTAGAACTGAGAATTTTTTCTTGTATAGGTTATTTGTAACATGGTGACTGCTTTAAGCGCTCTGAGATGCCGTATATAAATCCAAGTTGTTGTTGTTTAGCATTTTTCGGTTTACGCAGAGCAAGGAACACATGTTGTCTGTCCATTTGGTTTGTGCACACTCATTGAGGAGCTGAATTGTTCAGAGAGCTCACCCGCTTTTATGATCACGCTAAGTTATTCCCATGTGCAGCAGTTCTATTTCGATCTTTATCTTTCAGGAAAAATGGTACCTTCTTGCATGGTTCAATTACTACTTGTGTATTCCCTAAAGATTTGATTCTTCAGGCAAACAACCATGACCTTGAAACAAATCCCTGGACCAAATGAACATCTGAAGCTTCTCACTTTTCCTCTAAGGCAGGCTTTTCAAGACTACCTAAGGGCAATACTAGCTTCAACAACTACATTCCTACCATAGCAAACATAACAGTGTTCCCTAAAAACATTCTCTATGTGCCTGCATTTTGCATTTCATGATCATTTTTTCACTTGCACATGACTGGTAGGTCATAGTTTCATATAATTTTTTGTTTAATTAAGAAGTCTCTGGCTCGCATAGTCCTTATATCCTATAAAGTTAATACCAGGGATCAGAAATTCTGCTGGTCAGTAAAGTTACCAACTTACAATTATAATGGAGAAATCCCAAGTGCATGTCTCCAAGGTCAGTAACTTTACAAACCAGTGGAATTTCACATTTACTCAATAAAGGTTCAGGTGCCTTCAACCGTTCTATTTTATGTTACAATTCTGCAATTCGAGTTCTGGTATCACTTCTTACACAATGTACTTTTTTTGTGTGTAAAGAATTACAGAATGCAATAGGATGTGTTGTGGTGTCTCATTAATGCGAGTCTATCTCTTTCTACCACAAGTAACTCAGAACTGTGGGCATATTCTCCTCTGGTCAGTAAGTTTACCAAACTTGCCATGTTTTCCTATTATAAACTTTTTACACTTCCAACGCCTGTGAATATATAGATTGACAGAGAAGAAAAGAAATAACATGTATTTTTATAATGGTTCATCATATTAAAAAGTGCTTCTCCATAATTACTGTCAATTATAGTGAATGTTTTTATAGGCAAATGTGACAGCTATTTTTCCACAGCAGGGTCCCACTAACATAAATGATCAAATCATCAAGAGGATTGTTGGCCAGGATTTCCAGAAAAACTTTCTCCTCTTTTCTAACAATGTTATGGGATGCTTAATATCTACCCTGAACAGACAGATGGGACCTTGGTTTAACAAAAACAACAAATTCCTTTTTATAGTGGCTTTCACTTCAGAAGGATGTCCCAAAGTGCTTTGATTTAACATGTTCTCTTTCAATAAGGTCTATAGATTTTCAAAGTAACACAGAACTTATATTGGACAGTAATATTCTCTTTTACATTTGATCCCTATGGACAAACAATTCTTTCTCATTGCCATTTATCAAATACTTACACAAGCTCCTGCCAGCGAACTCCTAAAGCCACAGGTGATTTCCTGCTATAAGTTGTAGCAATACATTTGCCATTCTCAAAGTCCACATTTGATGATCGTTGAATTTCAAACCATGTTCCCAAGTACTGTGGCATAAAATAACACATATAATTAACCGCGTGTCAGTGCATGGGTCATTCAAAATCAAACACCTATTTAGAAGCTTTTAGTGAAGCCCCATTTCAGAATAAAGCCCAGAGGAGAAGAATAGTGAAATAATAATAATAATCCTTGCATTTGATTTAGGGCTTTTCACATCTTCTAGATATCTCAAAGCGCTTCAGTGAATATGCTGTAAAGCAAATTGACTGTAATTTGTGGGTGAAACGCGGTAGCCAATTGCGCACAGCAATGTCCCACAAACAGTCGTGGATTGAAAATGACCAATTTATTATTGTTTTGTTTTTTGGAGGGATTATTATTAGGCGTGTGGAGTAAAGAAACTTGCCCAAGGTTTCGCCCGGCCTGGAATTGAACCCAGGTGTCTCGCTTGCAAGGCAAGCGCTCTAACCACTGAGCTACAGGACTCCACAAATAAACTAAGCAAGAGCAGTTTGGTAGCAAGAGTGTTATCATGTGAGCCAGGGTAATACCCTATCCACTTCCCGTAAAATAGCTGCTGAGTCTCGTGCTACCATTTAGAACGAAGACACTGTAAGGCTCTAGAATTCAAGTGAGTCGAAGTAAATAGACTCATTCTCATTCTGGCAGGTGCTGTTCATTCCAGCTCACCAGGGCTAAGGTCACCCTGAATAAGTTGATTAACTTAGCTCTGAACTGTGAGATGATTCAGGGCATCATAATTCATTTCAAACAGGCTCCTTAAGCTCCTCTGAGCAATTTTTTTAACTTAAACTCTAAATATATTGCCCTACACACTCATCCTCCTCTCTGCGTTTTTGCAGCTCCAATGAATTCTTCCACAGCATGATTGTTGTGTTTTAGATTCTAAAGGAGCTAAATAATATAGATCATGACATGCTGTTTTGACTTGTCCAGAGTAGTAAAACCAGAGGACACGGCCTGTGATTGAAGGGATGGAAATTCAGAACAAATCTACACAAACGCTATTTCAGTGAGCGAATAGTGAACCCGTGGAACAGATTCCCTAGGGAGAAGGCTGAAGCAGGAAGTGTTGATTCTTTCAAACACAGATTAGACATTTTTCTTTTAGGAAATAACATTATGGGATATGGTCCATAAGTAGTTTGGGACATATGTGAGTGCGACGGCCTGGAAGGTGGAAAGCAAACTGGATTGGCCTTGGTCTTTTTTTGTCTGGCATTTCTTATGTTCTTAACTTCAGGACTGTGGAAGCTCATTAATTTCCACCTACACCCAAGTTTTAATACTTAGCATCAACTAACTTAATTTACCTAACCTCTTCTCCTCACCTGATGGTGTCCCACACTGTGGTCCTTGTCTCTTCATCTAGACGTGTCAATATTAAAACAAACCTAGAGACCATCCGAGAAAACAGGGTGGCCTGATAACTCTTTGTACTATTCAGTGACTGTGGAATGGGCCTTTCAGAAGGGAAATTGGTGAAGTCAAGTAATTATACATAATAATAATCTTTGCATTTGATATAGCGTCTTATCACGTCGTTGAGACATCTCAAAACGCTTTGCAGAATATATTTGTGAAATATATACTTAATTCATCAATCTCACCAACCTCAAGAAAGTTGAAATCCTTTTGCACCTCTGGTTTAGCACAAGCGGCTTGCACTCTTGTAGTGGTGAAACAAAGGGATGTGACCAACAAGGTCCACAGCATCTCCTGCATGTTAGTGTCCGGAGAGCGCCTGAAACACAAAGTAATCACAGGACTCCTTTACCACATGGCTCTGACAAAGACTGAATGGGAAACAGGAGGAGAGACTGACTGGGACAAACAGGATCTCAAGGGAAAACTGAGGCAACTGTGTCTAACAAAGCATGAAACAAGGGCAGCAACTGGAAAAAATAAGCGCTGGAAATTCACAGCAAGTTGTTCAGCATGTGAGTGAGGAAGGCAAGTTAATGCAGCTTTTCAACCATCCAGATACAGTATTGTTTTCAAATGCTCTAAACGGATGCAATGCAGACTGCTGCAACCAGCAGGTCAGTTGCCAAGTCAGGCATTTCACCCATTGATATAAAAACTGAATGGCCAATATCACTATTCAGTTATTATTTTTCACTTGCTTTCTAGATACACAGATAAGATGTTCTGTTTATAACAATCCCACACATTTTCTCGCTGGACAGGCCAAGGGGAGGGAACAGTGCGGATTCCTAGCTCCGAAGGCCATGAATGGGAAGCCCAGAGACATGGAGAACTGGAGTCTCCCAAAAGTGACTGTTGAAGAAGAGGTGAGACACAAGTGATTTCAGGCTACATTGCCTGCATGACTGGATTAATACTTTGGATGTTTCAGAACTCCACAAAACCTCACAAAAATGATGAAAAGTTACTGAACAAAAATTATAAAAACGCTAAAGTTGAAAACTTTGTGAACTTTGAAAGAATGTTGTTAAATATCTATTTTCTATTCCTGGCAGAATTAACTTCCAGCTTCCATTTTGCTCCCTGAAACTGGGACAAAGCCAAATGTGAGATTCCTTCTCTTGCCTATAATTTCTTCCACTTTTCTTTTCTCCTAGGTTTCAAGCATAAGATATTTCTCGCTCTGGTTCTCTTTTCTCCCTGACTTGAATGCCATTCCATCACCTGACCTCTACCTAGCCCTCTGCCCAGATCACTTTATGAATAAAGTCCCATTCTGCTTGATACCCTTCTTGTTCTTTCTGGGGCTGCTTAACTGTAGCTGCAAAATCTCCCCAAATCAGGACCCTTTCAGGACCCTTTCCCAAAAGGATAAGTTCCCACAGGACCCTTTCCCAAAAGGATAGTTCCCACAGGGGCCACTTTTAGGAGAGAGATTTTCATCACCAGGACCACATTTATAAAGAGCCTTCAGTCTCCTCTGTAGGTACACTTTGTGTGTTTACTGTCCCAAGTAAAATGAAGCAAAATAGACTGAGAAACTACCGGCTCTGTATTAAACCACTATATTAAATTAACAGATGGACTAGTGGTGGTGGATCAAAGCAATTCAGCTCAACATCTCTCCATTCGTCAGGAGAAGAACATTATGCAAGGCTCACCCACCCCACTGATCTCTGTGTACTGAAAGTGCAAGGGGGCAGACTTCGAGTACAAAAGCTTTGTGTTTGCCAGAGAATACTCAATTGTCACATAGCCTGTAATTGCAGATCCCTGGAAAACTGATATCTTAACAATAAGCCTCAGCTCCCACCATCTGTTACTGCTTTGCTGAGACCAAAGAGTGAAGGAGAGGAGGGAGCCTAATGAGGACTTCACCCAACACCCACACATCCAATGACTTAAGGAGATTTATCCTATGACTGGGAACTCTCTAAGGAACTCTCTAAGGAACTCTGAGATCCCTTTCCAAAGGGGGAATCTCACGTGCAGTGTTCCTCTGTTCTCTCTATTGGTAAGGCCATGATCCCAATGTGGAACTGAGCCACACACGACCAGGAAACTCGTAATGTAATATTTCTTGAATTTGATACAGATCGTTATCACATCGCTGAGAAGTCCCAAAGCTGAAATGCAGCCACTGTGTTTCTGTAGACAAACCAAACTGCTATTGCTAAACAACCTACTAAGTTTGATGACCTATTCTGCAGTGTTGTGGTTGTGGGCATTAAGTTAACCTGAGTGTCCCGGGGGTAGAGGAGGGGAAAAAAACAGCTAAGGTTTCCATCCCCGTCTCAACATTCCACCTGATCTTATGCTTAAAATCATAGTCTTAAAATTGAAGAACGCCAGAAAATGTGGAACACTCTTCAGTCGCTCCCGAACTGCTTTCCCGCAGAACTGGAGGAACAGTCGTTTCTCAATGAAGTCCTTTACACCACAACCCGAGCAAAGCCACAGTCCGACACGAGCAAAGTCTCACTGACATCAGAACAGAAATGATGTATTTCTGTTCATTCTGAATGTCGAGGGTTTGTTTGTTTGTCCCAACGCTGTACAATAAAAACACATCTGTCTATTCGGCTTAAACCGAGTTGCGAGTTCTCTCCGTGTGAATTAATCGCAGATCATTAAACTCATTCAAAAAGCTTTTCCAATCGGACTGAGAGCGTGAAATCAAACCTTCAGCCTTCGTTTCAAGTGGTTTGCAATCGATGTCAGTGAATCAGGTCGATGCAGCTCCCACTGCCCGGGGCTTGCAAACCTGTCCGGGCGACTTGTGACCTGTGCCAGTCGCCCACATTGTGATCAGAGCAAACAGCAGCGGCCACTGATCCCCAGAAGGAGGCGAGTCCCGGGGCCGGACACCGGGTCACAGTTACACACAGATCCGCGCAGTCATTCATTCATTCATTCATTCATTCATTCATTCATTCATTCATTCATCATTCATTCGACCATCCGGTGACTGATCAGCAGAGACGGCAGCAACTGATCAGCCTTCAGCTCCGGGACCCACCAGCAAAGGGCACACACCGCCCACACCCGCCCCTGACGGTGGATCACTTACCCCGGGGGCCGGGCCGAGGCTGGAGAGGTGCGGGTCGGTGTGAGTCACAGTCGCACTCGCTGTGTGTGTGTCGGTCTCCAGTGCACAGTCCCCGCAGCGCCTCCTTATATACCGGAGCCGCGCACACGCCATCAGAGCGATCAAACAGCCACAGGTTGGACCTCAGCCCCGAGGGATTCCCAGCAACTCACTCACTCACTCACTCACTCACTCACTCACTCACTCACTCACTCACTCACTCACTCCCTCACACACACACACTCACACACTCACTCACACACTCACTCACTCACACACACACACTCACACACTCACTCACTCACTCACTCCCTCACTCACACACTCACTCACTCACACACTCACACACACACTCACACACTCACACACTCACTCCCTCAATCACTCACTCACTCACACACTCACTCACTCACTCACACACACACACACACTCACTCACTCACACTCACGCACTCACTCACACTCACACACTCCCTCACTCACTCACTCACTCACTCACTCACTCACACACTCACACACACACTCAAACTCACACACACTCCCTCACTCACACACTCACTCACTCACACTCACGCACTCACTCACTCACTCACACTCACACACTCCCTCACTCACACACACACTCACTCACTCACTCACTCACTCAGTCAGTCAGCACTGTGCAGGCGCCCCCAGTGTAAGCTCTCCTGTCACTGACTCCCAAAGCTTCAGCTCTCGCCCCAACCTCAACTTTATTTCTCTTTCATATCAAGAAAACTGTTCGGCTTCAGTTCAGCATTGATGTCCTTGTCTCTCAGTGCTGCGGGGAGGAGTGACATTGAAGCGGTGGCTCCTCAGCTCAGTCTCCCCTTGGCCTTGGAGTAAAGTGTTGTTATTCTATTTTAATAATCCACAACCTGGGAAGTCAAAGCGTGGCTTGAGGCTGTGTATTTTCTTCCAATCATGTGGGTACAATTCATGGGGACATTGAACTGGACAGATCGACTAAGATCAGCACATTTTCTGTTTTAATTGTATTTCTCCCTAACTATTTGATTGCCTTTTGTTTCTCCCTCAGTTGACTTTGTTCCCACCTCCTGACACCTCAGGTCGCCGCCTGGTTGAGGGACTTTGAGCAACTTGGTGCCAGCCCTGTGCCAGTGTCGCTATTTGAGCTGTTAGGTTTGGAGATGCCACCAAAGCACCCACCAATTCACCCTCGCTCTCTGTGGACAAGCGACCAGCCCTCTGGCTCGGATGGGGATGTACTGTGGTGGGATTATTCACCATTGCTCCATAGTCAGGCACTTGGAGCATAAATGAGCAGCTTCCTGCTATATATAGACTGAAAAACAAGAGGAGATTCAGCAAAACATAGCTGATGCTCCATAGCTCCAGCTGACACATAGGCACCAATGTACAGGGGGCGGAGATGTAGATATGTAAACAGTACATCTTTATCCAAGCCGCCTTTTAAAGTATTATTATCCCTCAACGCAACACTGAAAGAAAATGCACCACACACTTATACACAAGACCCTTTGATACAATGCTTTCTGATACACTCCACATCCTCTCTATAATTCTCTTATTGTGTCCACACCCTTTATTGTAACACTGCTATACACTACATCCCCTGTAACACAGATTTGCTCCAATACACCAAGACATCAGATTCATTATTAATCTCGCTCTGATTAAACCCCTCCCCGGCAAGATTAATACCGCTCCCCACTCAAGAATGTGAGACATCAGAAGTTAAACAGTTTTGAGATTACTGACCCTGTGGGAATAGCTACACAGTTCAACAGCTTCAACTCATCCAAACATCCGCTGCTCTGCACACTCATCATCCCAATCCTCATCAAGCTTCCCATTATCCCAAACCTCATCAAGCTCCCCATCATCCCAATCCTCATCAGGCTCCCCATCATCCCAATCCTCATCAGGCTCCCTACTTTTCAATGGATCGATTTCAAGATCATAAAGTATGCCTACAAATCCAGCTGCACCCTAGCACCTCCTTATCTTTCCAATCTTGTGCTTTATTCCTCCTCTCGTGGTTGCCTCCTCTGCTCAGCTAACCGCGCGGGATTGCTGCGCATGCCCTGCCCTCTGCACCCCCATCGGTGCCCATATCTTCAGTTCTATTTCCCTAACCTCTGGAACTCCCTTGCTCTACCCCCTCTATCTAGCCCCCTCTCTTTCTGTCTTTAAGTCCCAGCTCAAAACCTTACCTCTTCAAACGTACCTATTGCCACCCATTCCCTCCCCTTTACTTGGCCTCTAACCCCGTTCTTGAAAAGCACCCTGAAACATTGGTGAAATGAGCTTCACCTCATGTTTATGGCTCATTTTTCTTCTCACCTGTCATTAACAGGCTTTGTTAACACTTCAGACAAATAGGAATATCGAGCTCCAGAGAGGACTGGTTTTTCCATCACTGTACTCCTCAATGCTGCTTTTATATTCAACTTTCTCCTGTAGAACAGGTGTCAGCCTGGCTCTGTTGGTAGCACGCTCATCTTCAAGTCAAAGGTTGTGGGTTCAAGCCCCATATTGGGACTTTGAGCTCATGGCCCAAGCTGGCACTCCAATGTAGTGCTGGTGCAATACTGTATTGTTGGAGAAGTTTAACCAAGATCCCTTCTGCCCCTGCAGATGAATATTGAAACACCCTATGCTATTATTTGACAAAGGAAGGCAGTTTCTCCTGCTGCCTGGCTAACAATCCCCTAATTTAAAAAGTATAGTCATTCACTGCATGACGGCTTATGTGACATTACTGTGTGCATATTGGCTGCCCTGTTCACCTCTTTGGAACCCTTTGAGATGTTTTGATGTGGTAATGCGCTCTATCAAATGCAAGTATTATTATAGAACTTGAGAACCCAGCATTTCTTTTATTATGGTGTGGAGACTGATCAGTGTCACAATCACAAAATCTGTATTCCACTCTGTCCTCACTGCCAGGTTCAGACACATTCTACTCTTTTAACTCCAGCTTTCTTTCTCCAGCTTATCCAAAAGTCGATACTTGTGCCCAGGCAGCCAGCACCCTCTGGTACTGCACTAAGATGTGAGCTGAGACAATGAGCATTGGTGGGCGGCAAGTGAGAACGTATAAGGGAGAGTCCACTCAGTTCCTCATCTCATCCCCATCAACCGTGGGAGGCTCTGAATGAAAGGGTCTCCCAGTAGAGAGGAGAGATAAAGTGGACAATGTTACCTGGGTTGTCTTTGGTGCCTCGTGGTCAAAGTAAGATTACCCTCTAATCACACCAGGTGGGCAAATAGGGGGTGAAATCAGAAATGTAAAGTGGGATCTTTCTTGAATGGTTATATCTCTTGTGATCTTATATTTTTACAGAATTTTTAGACAAACTGACTTCTGAAACCAACAGGCCAGTAGTTGATAAACTGAATTCCCTCAGGGCTATTTAACTAAGATACAGAGGCGCAAAATGATTCTTATGTGACACGTATATAATAAACCCGAGAGAAGAGGAGGTTGACAGTAAACCTTTCTTTTAAAGGGGAACTCCATTCTCTTTATACAGTGCTCCAAGCTATTATCCTAGGTGAACCGTACTGTATAATTCATATTGGTGTTGATTTAATAACTTCTATTTAACACAAGGAATATAATCCTAATCCTAACTAATGTATTGTGGAGCCTTTTCATCCACACAGCAATTAATTGTTTTCTATTCCTGAGAGCTGTCACTGAATAATGTGACACTGCATGGTCACCACATTGTGCTTGCTGTTAAGTAAAACAAAAATAAAGGAGTTTATACAGCATAAATATGCATTGAGACATCGAATAGAACTCCTACAGAGCCATGAGCATTACTCAGACTCATGAGAACTTGGCTGCGACTCAAAATTTCATCAAAGTGAGGCATCATTTATTCTGCCTCCCCCAAAAACATTTTAAACCCTTCAGCCTTTTCAATTCCATCGTTGGGGATTGAAAGTCTTGAATTAAGTTTGAGATTGACTCCTCCCCACTCATTGATTTACATTACAAAAATGCCATTGATCAATAACAATAATAATTTTTACATTTGATATTGCGCCTTTTGTGTCGGAGGCTGTTTCATAGTGCTTCACAGCATTTACTGTAACTGTGTATTTTGTAGGCAAACACTTTGATTTACAAGTCTCACTCAGAAGGGCCACAGGAAGTCTGGTGTGGGAGATGGAATGACTGAGGTTAAGATAGAAACACATTGTTGGAAAGTGTTTTACTTTCCTCACTGTGATCTGGCAGCATTGATGCTGATCCTGGATGCCTAAGATGGGACAGTGTTCTATTTCCAACAAATAATATTCCTCGTCCCGAGCTCAATAAGGGGTTATTTTCCCTTGCGGGTAAGGTCACTGAACTTGACGGTTAGAGCTTGCAATAGGAATTTTCGTTATAAATGGGAAGAATGATTTTACTTCTGTACATAGTTTAAACCAGAATTTCTGGAGGCTTATGTGTCTATCTAAGTAGGTCCTGAGATAAATTTATTGACAATTGGAGGATCACCTCTCTTGAACCCTTTGTTTTCACGTAGAGGGTAGTGGGAATCTGGAATTTTCTTCCCCAAAAGGCTGTGGATGCTGGATCCATTCAAATTTTCAAGATTGAGGTTTATAGATTTTTATGAAGTCATGGTGTCAAGAGATATGGGGCAAAGGTGGGTAATTAGAGTTGAGGTACAGATCAGCCATATCTAACAGAATAGCGGAACAGGCTCGCGGGTCTGAATGGCCTACTCCTGTTCCTACGACCCTTATGTAATTCACAGTGTGATCTGGAGACAAATGGCTGTCCCCACCTTTTTCCCATGAGGTGCACGATTATCTCAGTGAGCCCTTTTGCAGCACTGATACACTGAAATTAGTAAGTTGGTTCTCTCTAAGGCCTCATTAAATGTATTAGTGTTGCACCTGTCATATGCCCTCTCTGCCTGCCTGAACATGCTTATTGTTGCTGTAACGCATATTATGGATGCATTGAGTGGAGAATAACAGATGTCCATAAATGAGTTTTAAGGTTGTACTATACTCAGGAGGGTTGGATGACACCGCACTGATATAGCCTAGAGACTACTTGTGGCCCACCTGCTCTTCCCATGTGTCCCACCTTCGCTTCCCCTGTGACCCTCTAGATTTGCTTCTCCATGTGGTCTGTCCATCCGTGGGATATTGCCAGAGCTGTGTTGTTCTTTTCTTGTTCCCTCGTACCCTCCGCTCCACCATTGGAGGTCGCGCTTTCAGCCACTATGCTCCAAAACTGTGGAACACTCTCCCTCAATCCCTCTGCCTTGCCCCATCTCTCCCCTTTTTCAAGTCCCGCCTGAAAACCTTCCTTTTCGACCATGCTTGCCGTCACCTCCCCACCCCACTCCCACCATCTCAGAGTTAGGCTCCATCACTGTTAAGCACTCTGAGACACTACCATGTGAGGAGGGTGCTCTGTAAGTTCAAGTTGTTATTGATATTTTTGTTGTATGACCACAGATAAGTATTTAACTTTGTCAATAGTTCCCCCTGCTGGATACACTTTGAATTGTAAAATGCAGTACAACCTTAAGCATTTAGAATGACAAAGAATTACATTGAATGATTCAGCACAGAAACAGCCATTGCTATCAATTTTAAAAAATGCAGGAAAGTGTCTTGAGCAAATGAAGGAACCCTCCAGAGGAAGTAGTTAACATTAGCAGTGAATGGAATAGAATTACAAGTGAACTACATATCCTCTGAATTCCTTGGTCAGATTAATGCAATCCTAAAGCAACCTTTTCCATACACTGATACAATACATCCTTCACTGTGTCATATATCCTGAATATTGCAATACATAATGCACCATGAAAATATTTCTACAAAGCTCAAGTCAATCCAAAATTTAGCTCCTCTACTTGAAGAGGCTCTCTTCTTCACCCTTATTCATGCTCCTGGATAGGACACACAAGTTTGTTTCTGTGATATCTGGAACCTTTTATCACCTCTACTCTCCAGTCTGTCTCCTTTTCATTCTAATCTGTCTCTCACTCTCTGAACCACTGTCACTGTCCCTGCCAATTATTCTCATCTTTCTCTAGTTTATCAATTGTACCAATGCTTCAAAGAGCTAAACCAACCTTCAAACTACCTTCTGTAATTCTCCAGATAAACTGATGATTCACTTTGTGACTGGTTGTGGACACTGCTGTGTGCAAATTAAATAATCCTTAATTATAATAATCCTTGCATTTGATATAACACATTATCATGTCTTTGAGATGTCTCAAAGCACTTCAAGTAATATACTGTAAAGTGAATTGAATGTATATTTTGTGGGCGAAACATTTTGGCTATCTCGCTCATCCACAAATACATTTTTGGAGTAACTGTGACTACCTTTCAACTGATGTCACCACACTGTGACTATTACACTCTTTCAACACAATGTTGCATCAGACAGATTACACATTTATATTTGCCAACTTGAAAGGCATTTATTTGATAGATTTTGTACTTCTGATGCCATATCTTCACATAAGAACAGAAGGTTTTAACAGAAGAAACAGAAAGCAATTTTCTGAAGGTTCAAAAAGTTCTGGTGCTCTGTGCTAAATAGCTTTTACCCAGTTAATGATCAATGATGCACAAAGTGCTCTTTGTGGACCTGTGCACTGTACCCAGTTCCAGCAATTGTGTAATTTCTCCTCTAACCACTCCAGTTCCAGTATTTCAATCGTAATTTATTTTACAGGAACTGACAGTTAGCTGTTGGTACTGGTTACAAGCTACTGTGAACCAATATAAATACCTTTCAACATCAGTTAGGTTTCAGAAAGTTGAAAGAACAAAGTTTGTTCAGAATCAGTTCCTCATGTAAGGTAAGAATTTACTGTTACATACTGTCTGACAGACTATAATCCAATTCTGGATTGCTGTTTCTCACTCTGTCCGTTCTACATTCAGTGTTTGAGCCTTCAGCCTCTATACTCTCTGGCACTCTCACAAAATCCCTTTATCTTGTGCTTTCTGTTTTCAAAACCCTGTTAAAAACCTGCCTCTTTGACTATGCCTTGATCCATATTTTAAACACCTCCTGTTCCTCCCCCCTGCTCAATGATGCCCACTGTCATTTGAAACATTTCAAGATAATCATTCTATGCAAAGGTAAATCTAAATGTAAGCTGTTGTTGACAATCAGACCACACTGCTACAATTTGAGTAACAGGCTGTATATACTGTTACAATTCGACTGTCAGGATATAAATATTGCTATAATCTGGTGCTAGACTGTATCTCCTGCTAACAAAACAAAAAATACTGCAGATGCTGGAAATCTGAAAACAAAAACAGAAGTCGCTCGGAACACTCAGCAGGTCAGGCAGCATCTATGGAGAAAGGAAAGTGAGTCAACGTTTTGGGTCCACAACGCTTCATCAGAACTCGAGTCAACATTTTGGGTCCACGGCCCCTTCGTCAGAATTGGGTTCTGATGAAGGCTCATGGACCCATATGAACATAGGAATTAGGAGCAGGAGTAGGTTATTCGGCTCCTTGAGCCTGCCCCACCATTCAATAGGATCATGGCTGATCTTCTAACCTAACTCCGTCTGCCTGCCTTATCCCCATATCCATAAATCCCTCTATCCTTTAGAAATCTATCAATCTCAGTCTTGAATATATTCAAAGACTGAGCATCTATAGCCTTCCGGGTTAAAGAATTCCATAAATTTGCTAACCTCTGAATGAAGAAGTGTTTCCTCAACTCTGTTCGGAAAAGCTATCCCTTAATTTTAAGACTGTGACCCCTAGTTCTAGATTCTCCTACCAGGGGAAACAATCTCACACTGTCTACTCTGTCAAGCCCCATAAGAATTTTATATGTTTCTTTAAGATCACCCCTAATTCTTCTATATTCTAGAGAATATAGGCCTAGTTTACTCAACTTATCCTCACAAGCCACCCACTCTTCCCAGGAACTAACCTAGTGAATCGACATTGCACCCCCTCTAAGGCAGGTATGTCCTTAGGGAAATTTACATTAGCAAAGAATTGGTGCTAGGGAAATTGTTGGCATTAAAAAGTGACAAGTCCCCTGGACCTGATGGTTTGCATCCTAGGATTTTAAAAGAGGTAACTCATGAGATAGTGGAGGCCTTGTGTCTGATCTTTCAAAATTCTTTGGATTCTGGAACGGTTCCCATTGATTGGAAGATCGCAAACATCACACACTATTTAACAAGGGTGGGAGAGAAAAGATGGGGAACTATAGACCAGTTCGTCTGACATCGGTGGTCGGGAAAATTCTAGAATCCTTAATTAAGGATGTCTTTCTCCATAGATGCTGCCTGTCCTGCTGAGTGTTCCGAGCAACTTCTGTTTCTGTTTTGTATCTCCTGCTACAATGTTATCAAGTTGTATATTCCAAAATGTGACTAACAGCTCTGTGTATATATATATACTGCTACAATCTGACTGTTAGAATGTATGTATCACTACATTCTCACAGTTAAGGCTGTATTTGAATGTTACGCTGTATATAGTGCCACAATCTATCATGGTGCTCATATAATCTGATACCAGCTAATAAATAATGCTCCAATCTGTCCCTTCAATTTCTATAGATTGCTACAAGCTAAGACTGGGCTGTATACACGCCCTATAATCTGATGCCATCAAATGTACTGTTATGATTTGACTGCCAGGCTTCATATTTTGAAACAATCTGATGCCACCCTGTATAATAAAAATAACAATCATAATCCTTGCATTTGATATAGCGCCATCACATCGTTGAGATAAGTTGCCAGAATTGTTGTTCTGCTACCAGTCTCTTCCGTCTGTAAAGTGTCCAGCAAGTGCATGGTACTGCTTAATATCAGAAAGTAATAGTTAAATCTCTGCCACAGGAATTTTCTTGCTCCACCGCTAAAGATACAACAACATTCAGAAAAGAGTGGCCTGCAGGATTTGGGAATTTTAATGTTAGTTGATCATTAAAACTGTCTGCCAGAATCTAGAAGAAGGAACAGAGATCTGGCTCAGCAGTGAAGGTCAAATTCAAATGTGGTTACTGACAAACAAAAGACACAGTCTCTCTAACCTCTGAGTGTAGTGGCTTTGCGCAACTCATAACCTGTGTGACCACAACACTTCAGCAATGACAAGGGCAAAGTATGATTCACCAGGTATAAATGGGCTGCTGTTTTTTAAAGGACTTACCAAAGCATTGTTTGTCTTTAAATGCAAAGTAGACTCGTCAGTACTCTTATCTGGTAAACATTACGCACCCACACCAGCAGGATTACCATTGGAGTAACGCACACAAAAACTGGCATCTTAGTCAGAGTCTAGTATCATCATCGAGATATTAGGTGACTGATAACCCACTGCATATGGATCTGTTTTTTTTAATATATTCCTCATGTTTGCCTTCTGCACTGCTCAGCTAATCAAGGGTCTCAGATGTTTTGCAAAATTGTAGTGTGGATTACTGACTGGAATCTAATTCAGATTTGGATAGTTTACACAGAAAATAATAGATACCTGGCAGCAAGTTGTAGGGACAACTCTATTCAAGAAGATTGGATGGTTTATATTATAAAAATAAACAAGATACCTGCAGACTATGGTCTGATCCGGAGGTTTGGATGAGTTATGTACAAAATAATTTAGACTGAGTTACAGACTGAGTATTGAGATGGTTTGTATACAGAATAAGATATATCTGCTGCGTTGCAGGCTGTGTGATGGCATTGAACTCCATGTGTGATAAGGAACACTGGAGACAGGTCCCAAAATGAGGTTTCCTACACGTTTAAATATTTCTTTAAAAAACTCACCAGAATTACAAAAGACATTTAAGTTTTATTATTAAATGGGGCTCTGATAGTGACACCCACTGTTTAAAGTTAGATATACAAGCTTAATCATTGCATTAATGCAGTACCACTCACATCGGCAAGATGTCTAAAATTGCTTCACGGGTTTTACTGTAAAGTGTAGTAACTGAGTATTTTGTAGGCAAATAAATAGCATGTTTTTGCATGTTCTCCTCTGTTTTTAGGTCCAAATGGATACTTTGAAGATTGCAGTGGTATTGTTCCTGAGCTGTTCCTACAGTTCATCGTCCCCAATCATCTGCCCCGATTCCTGCACTTGCTCCTTTTCGGATGATGTGACATCTGTGGTTTGTGTTTCGGTTGAATCCCTACTTGAGGTGCCAACAAACATACCAGACAATGCAACCACTGTATCCATAGAATTCACCAACATCACAACCCTTAAAGCAAATGACTTTGTTGGCCTCTTTCACCTTCAAGAGCTTCATCTCTCAAACAACAAGTTGACCAACATCACTTCAGGCCTCCTAAGAGATCTTGGTCAACTGAGAGTCCTGGATTTATCTGCTAACTTTCTGAACATTCTCCCACCCAAATTGTTCAATTTCTCCCCAAATCTGAACTCACTTGTTTTACAGGGTAACAGATTACAAACAGTAAATCCTATGTGGTTTGCTCATCTTCAGAATCTTCAATGGCTGGACCTGTCAGCCAATATATTGAAATCCTTGCTTCCCAATTCATTTCAAAACCTGACCAATTTGGTCACATTGGATCTCTCCAATAATAAATTTGAAAAATTACCAAGTCATCTATTTAACAATCTGCCAAAATTAAAAAGGCTAAATTTGGGAGCTAATCAGCTGCATTTTATTTCCTCTGGTACCTTTGATAATGTGCTGAATTTAAAGTATTTGTTTCTTGATAATAATAAAATTGTCAAGATACCAGTAGGGCTGTTTAATAAGCTATTACGTTTAGACACAATCGACCTTTCAGAAAATAGGCTGAAGTCGCTTCCCCCAGGAGTGTTTGATAAACTGGTGCAGATTGGAACAGAGTTTGGACAGGGTGTGGATCTCTCGATAAACCCTTGGGTTTGTGACTGTCAACTGAAAGATCTGTGGCGATGGCTGAAAAATAATTCAGAGAAAGTCTTCTCACTGAGTGCAACAGTGTGCGCAGAGCCGAAAGCGACCAGTGGTGAACAGATTGCAACACTGCTTGAAGGGGAACTGTTGTGTCTCAATTAATTTCTGCTAAGTTACTCAGAAATTGTGCTTTGAATCATGTAGTTAAAAAATGAAAATAAAGATGTTGCTTCAGTTTCCTTCTAAATTTTGTGTCAACATTTAAATATACTTTAATTGGGTGAAGTGATGCCACAGAAATTCACGTGAATCCGAAAAAAATCCACAACTTCGAACAAAAATCCTGACGGTTCTCTGGAATAATGGAAAATTCCAGTAAAATGTTGTAGTTTGCAGTTTACCAGCAGAGGTCACTGTCTGCAACAACCAGATGATTCCAGCCGTCACCTTCCCAGCAGATAAAATGTGTGTCAGAACATTGCTGTGCTCCTAACGAAACCATCCACTTTACACTAAGTAGCTCAGGGCATAAATACAACAACACTTATTTCGATCTGGCATTTTTAAATTAAGAAAACTGAGAAGGGCTGTAGATTGTTGAAACTCTTGTCAAGTTGACCATTACTCTGTTGTACTGCTCTGCATTTTGACTATGGTGGAAATCACTGAACATTTGTTATGGTAATGAGGAAAAAGGGACATGCAAACGTTTTCTTATCTAATGTCCTTGTTTTTGCAGTCAAGTAGAGAAGAAATATCTAAATGAAATGGTCTTTGCTTGGTGAGGAGTAAAAGCGAGGAAATGTAATGAGTGAGACAAACTAGATGATCTTGCAGTTAGAGTGGAAGGAAAGGCTAAGCAAACAAGTCAGGTATTCTATAAACATAGCTAGTGTAGTTGTTGCTTTTTGGAACAGATCCAGGAAAGAAGACAACGAGAAGGTGCCACTTAAAGAAGACGAAACTCCTGCAACTACTAATTCTGTTCTCCTGATTGGTAACTTTGTCTTTCTGTACAAATTAATTGTGCCATAAATTTTTTGCAATTCACTCAAACATCTCTGTGAGCTTGATAATCTTGATGGTCAAATACACTGACAATTCACTTCAACAGGGCCAATGTCATTCATCACTGAGAGTAGAAGTGAAACATGCGGCAATACAAGAAGCAGTATCACCTTCAGACATCCTCCCGAAGTGAAAGGTGCTATATAAATGCAATTTGCTGTTGTTGTGGTAAAGTAATGCTTTCCCACGTGAATAGAATGCTGGGAGAAGGAAGGAATCTCAGTTTTTGAGGCCTGGAAAAGATTGAGTTTGTCTGCAAGTCTATCCAATTAATTTTGATTTCAATATAATGAGGATAGCGAGAAGAAAGTGCTTGTGATACTGAGCAAGGGAGGAAAATTCAGCACAGAGTCGGTATCATGGTAATGTGTTAGTATCAATAAAATAGAGGTTAAGGACGGTTGTGATGTAGAGAGATGAAAGGCCAAAAGTGAGAGGAATAGTCAACAGCTTTTGTATACAATCCAGGAGTGAAAAAACAGGTGGAGGAAGAGCACCAACCCCCACCCCCCGACCTGATGTGATAGCAGTATTCAAATCTTTGACAGGCTTGTGTTTTTTTGACAGCTAAGTGTTGTCCAATGGAAAATAAGTATTCAGCACAAGAGGGAAGAATTAGTAATGGCAATCATGTAGACATTCTATTTAACAACAACAAATTACATTTGTATGGCACGTCACATGGACGACCCACAGTCAAGGATTTGCACTCGACCTGGGGGTTGGAATTAAGAGGGGTGGAGGGTGGCCGAAGACAAGGTCGAAGAAGAAGGTCTTGAGGCAGGCCTTGAAGGAGGCAAGGAAAGGTCAAGGCGGAGGAACTCCAGGATGGAGTTCCAGAGGGTCGGTCTGAAAAGCTGAAGGCCCAACTGCCAATGGTGGGCTTGCCAGGCAGGAGACATGGAAGATATCACATTGTATCATATCACACGATAGTTCGAGCCAGAAAGTCATTTTGCAGATATCACTGAAGAATGGACACTTAAACAAGTTACTGGAAAGTGGTAGAAACTTCTGAAACTGTATTTGAGTAAAGCAGAAGAGAAAAATTGAACAGTAAATGAAAGAAACATCAGTCTTCAAAAAACTATAATGTATAAATACACTAAAATATGTGAGAAAACATAAATTCATCATTTTATTTGATCAAAAAAATTGCATAAACAGGACAGAGTTGTGCAATAGCATTCCAAATTCAGAGGCACCAGATAGAGTTATCATTACTCTTTTCAGTAATCCCTACTCCAGAAACAGATTCTCAGAGACTATACTATACATTCCTCTGTTTCCTTTGCTTTGACCTCGGCAAGTACCTTGCATTGGATGTTCATTGCATGTGGATTACACTGTACCTTCTTCAAGCCTACTGAACCACAGAAATCAAGATAAGCTTTGAACTAAAAGGTAACCTTCACTGGTATGTGCCTGATCATTCAATGGCCAACTGCAACCAATTTTGATGAGATCAATTCATACCTAGAGGCATTTCACACAGTGATGGAATAATATACTAGTTGCACACTATTGAAAGTGGGCTACCTCTAGTAGGAGGTCTGGACAGGTTCTTTGCATTTGATATAGTGCCTTATCATGTCTTTGAGACATCTCAAAGCACTTCAAAGAATATACTGTAGAGTGAATTCACTGTATATTTTGTGGGTGAAACGCAGCAGCCAATTGTACACACCAGTGTCCCACAAACAGTCATGGATTCAGTGACCAAAATATTTTAATTCTGTTTGAAGGAATTATTACCCCAGGAAAAGCGATCTGTCAATCGACTAACAACCGGGTTCCTACTTTCTGCTAGGTAAACAGAGTGGAGTGGAGTAAGGAAACTTGCCCAACATTTCACACTGCCGGGAATCGAACCCAGGTGTCTCGCTTGTGAGGCGACTGCTCTAAACACTAAGCTACATGACTCCATTCCTCCTGGGGAGATACCTGCTGTGCACTGACTGAAGTCTCTTGATCCCTCCACCAGCGAGAGATATCTGTATAGTGATTGGTGCTCTACTCCCTCAAGGATATAGTGTCTGCAAACTGACAGGTCTCTCCTTCATTCTCCCAGGGAAATATCTGTACACTGGCAAGTGGCTTTCGCCTGTTTCATTAGGGAGATATGTGTAAACTGGCTGATACGCCTTTCGCCCACAAATATACGGTCAATTCACTTTACAGTCTATTCTGTGAAGCGCTTTGAGACATCAAGAAGACGTGAAAAGCGCTATATCAAATGCAAGGATTATTATTATATTTTATTATTATTATTATGTCTACCACACTCCCTCAGGGAGATGGATATCTGTATAGTGACTAGTATCTCTCTTTTCTTCCTCCAGATATATAGTACTGTACTGTCTGGTGTCTCTCCTTTATTTCCCCAGGAAGATATCAGTACTCTGACCCTGCAATAACCACTCATTTGCTGAGGTTTCCCAATCTCTTCCTGTTTCAGCATTTTAGACTCAAATGCCTTATCAAACAAAGTTGCAGATGAGACATTTTGCACAAAATTCTGTAGCATTAATGTGAATTGAACTTCAGTGACACCTTGCATGTGGAGTTTGACGTTTCACTCTGAAGACTGAAAACCTTCCTCTACAACTGTGCTTATAGTCACCTTCACCCTCCCCCCAGCTCAGTGTCAGGCTCCACCACTGTTAAGCACTCCAAGACGCTGCCCCGTGTGAAGGACGCTATATAAATGCAAGTTGTTGATGTGTACACTCTTCTTGCTAATCACAATCAGGCACTGCCTATAAACTACATCTTTTCCTGTATTGTCCAAACATTCTGTGTTGCAACTTGTCTTTCTCTAATCAATTGATATTACTATGGTCCTCTGAACTTCCCATTTTTGTTCTTTCCGAATCAGCCAAGTCTTACACATTCCTCCTAGCTGCATCCGCACAATTGAAAGCACTCTTACACTTACTCATTCTTCTCCAGACTTCTAAGCTGTGGAACTCTTTCCCTCCCTTAGTCTTCTTTTCCACCTACAGGTTTTATACTTTTAAAGCCCAAGCCCATCATCCAACTGTTATATCCAGATGTATCTCAGCTTCTCTGCCTTTTCTGCACTATATATACCTCCCCTCTACAGCTAACTTTTCATTTTAAAAACACGCACATCCACACAAACACAGCCATAAAATGCACACCAGAGCAGTACAGTATATAACTACTCAATACAGTGGTAGAGAATTCACAGCATCAGATGATGTTAAAGGGGCAATGTACGCACCAGATTTGTGGAGGACACAAGCACATGGAACCAATGTCAAAAATCAACTAGAAACATAAACCATTCATGATTTCATTGCATTTCATGGTGTATTTAAAACAATGCACAATATTATAAAAATGTTTTAGTATTTTGCTGCCTTGCAACAATTAGCAAGCAAAAAAGGCACAGTGAATATTGTTGTACAGAACCTATTAAGACACGACTCAGATGAACTTGTTTGGTTTATGTTATAAGCCCTTGAAAGTACAGTTTGTGGAGAAAGTGAGCGGCTGATGAAAAAGAGGGGTGAAACATTTCAGAGATTTCTTTGTTTCACCCTTGGTTAATACTTGTACATCATGTCTGCTATTGCATCAGGGAGATGGGTCAGGATCTGCAGTCGAATCCACCAGTAGGTATCCATTGGTCTGTAGCGACGATACGGATATTTCGAAGTCAGTGCATCAGCCATTGCATTAATGACGGGAGAAATGTCTTTCGAACCATTGCTACACTGCGATTTCATTGCCATTGTCCGCCGATCGAAATGAGACTTGCCGTAATCTTCCCGTACACTGTCGGAGCTTTCCTTCCAAATGGTGTCGGCTGTGCTCCCAATGTGCTCACGGGTCAGAAAGCTGTAATTGCCTGGTTCGATTATGCTGACTTTGACACCCCAGTGCTGCAGCTCATAACGCAGGCAGTCAGAGAACGCCTCAACCCCATATTTTGAAATGCAGTAGGAAGATTGGCCAGCCTGGCCCATGCACCCGAACATACTGCTTATGTTCACAACACGACCTGCAAGAATTTGAGAGCAGAAAAGGCTATTGCAGCTTTCTTTGCACTCTGAAGCTGGGTATTGGCATTGGTAACATCAAAACAATTAATTCTAATTTCTTTCTATCCTGAAGATGCTGACGCTGTTTTTGAGGTAGTAAACACATCAGAGTGGCTCAGCACACAGAGGGGGGGTTCATCACTAACAATAGACATGATCAGAAGCTAGCTTTTCTGTAAGCAATCTTCCTTTGAAACAATCACGGTCAGGAATTTCTGGTTATGCTAAAGATGCTGGGGAGGTATAGATAAACTGAACCTTAGTAATATGTTTAACATTGTTTAACAAAGCCTACAAGGAAGCATTACCTCAAGCTCAGCTATTTCATCTGGTTTTAGCCTGTAAAAACATTTTGTTTTAATTTGGAGACACATATTGAATGGCATAATTTATTACATTTATGTACCCCTATCATGTTGTGAGGACATCGCAAAGTGCATGCAGAAAGATGATTTTAATTTTAAAGGAGTGCAATAGACTTGTCCAGTCCTGTACATTCATATCCTACGTATCTATCCATTCATCTGTCAATTACAGCTACTATTTCAGAGGCTGTGTTATCCAGCAATGCATTCAACGTTTTGGAAAATAAAACAGGAGGTGGGGAAAAATGTACCAACATTCTTTTGCGTCAACTGGTTCTGACACAAGTAGAAACCCATTACCATGTTTAACAGTATCCAAACCAGACTTCCATGCATTCCACTTATACTTGGATATTCTTGATATTTATTGGAATGGAGTGCGCATCCTGCTTACCTATTTCCAGTGAGCATTATGCGCAGGTTGGCAAGAGCCAAGGCTTGGGGAACCAAGAGTGTGCGTTGGGAATCTGGAATCTAACCAGCTAAAAACACATCAATAGCACTGTCTGGCAAACTTTCCCAATGCTTGTCCAGCTAGAAACACCCTTATGTTAGAGCTTTGGGTGGTAGGGTTAAGAGGAGGGACAGAAGAGTATCTGCCCCCAGTTACTGAAGTAACACCATAGGAATCTAAGTATGAAAATATATCCAGTATCAAAATAACTGTGGTTGATAATGAACCAGTTTAATTTCAGGAGCTCATTTTTCACTCACCCGTAGCTTTGCGGATAAGGGGGAGGAATGCCTTAGTGACTCGGATTGTTCCCCACAAGTTGACATCTGCTAGCTCCTTGTACCTCTCCATGCCTGTAAATTCCACTTCCCCAAATGATGAGTCACCGGCAATGTTCACTACACCCCAGAGACCTCAAGATAGCACAAAAAAGAAAGGGAAAAATATTTTTAAATCAGTGCAATGTGGGCGTATAAACAATCAGCACAATATGCCTATCTATACCTAGTACAGTCGCTCAAATAACAAGAAACATATTGCGTAAATTCCAGGAAAAACATTTTTAAAAGGTTAACTACTAAATGTGATCTGCAGTCCTCCTCCACTGCAAGGACAAAGCAAGGTTTCAAGTCCTCCCACAAACCATTTCTATAGGGAGTAATCTTTGACTTGATCTTTTTGGAATATGCCATTTCTCTATATTTATTAATTCCTTGTTAATTTTCTCTCTACAAACATCACAATTTTGTCTTTCTCATTTTTAATCACTATTATAATCAAACTGAAGGACACTGAGTTGGCTATAATAGTATCTTACAGAAGAGGTATCTTACAGAAGAACTTGGAAATTCCAGATTGTTCAAAGCATACAGGAAGTAAAGAGGCGCATTAAAAAAACTACAGAGATACAAAGAATTAACTTGTGGTATACTCTTTGCTCTGAAACACTACAGAGTGTGTATTAAAAACCCAAAACAATAATAAATTGGTCATTTTCAATCTACGACTGTTTGTGGGACATTGCTGTGCGCAATTGGCTGCCGCGTTCGCCCACAAATATACAGTCAATTCACTTTAGAGTGTGTTCTGTGAAGCGCTTTGGGACGTCCTCCGGACGTGAAAAGCGCTATATCATATGCAAGGATTATTATTATTGTGTAGCACCCTGACTTAGTTATTAGTATTTGGCTCTGCATCAGACGTTTGTAGTTCAAGCTCCATGACAGGACGTTGAACTCATATAGTCTCGGCTGACATTCCAATACAATAATAAAATAATAATAATCCTAGCATTTGATATAACGGCTTATCACGTCGTTGAGACATCTCAAAGCTCTTCACAGAATATACTGTAAAGTGGATTGACTGTGTATTTTGTGGGCTAATTGCGCACAGCGGTGTCCTACAAACAGTCGTAGATTGAGTGACCAATTTTCTTTTTGAAGGGATTATTACTTGTTGGGGATGAGCTGCATTGTTGAAGGTGGTGTTCTTCAGATGACATATTAAATCAACAGTCTTTGCCTGCTCAGACACACAATGCAGATCCCACAGTACTATTTGAAATGAAAAGGAGTATCTCCCGGTGTCCTGGCCAATAATAACCAATTAAATAAAATTGATTATTCATTTCATGGCCGTTTGTGGCATATCACCATGCACAAACTGACTGATACTTTCATCTACAAAATATAGTCATATCAGGTGAAGCTCTTTGAGACATCCTCCTGACATGAAAGGTGCTATATTAAATGTAAGGATTATTGTTAGCGGTAGTATTACAGCAATCAGAAGGAAACTATCACCTAACCAATCTGAAATAGATTGAGGACTGTTGTGCTGAATACTCTCCACTCTGTGTTAACACAGTTGCCCTCGCAAAGAAGACGTCTCATTGCTTTGTGAAACTGAACCCGTCATACATACCCTTTTCGTTTTCCTTCAAGTGGCTCTTCACAGATTCCACGGCCTGAGCAACATCCTCATCGCTGCAAACGTTCAGCTGAAGCACATTCATTCGGTCACATTTCATGTTCTCTAGTACTTGAGCACCTTCGCCATTTTTGTCCTGCCAAAAATAAGTTAAAAATTGTTTTTCAACAACGAAATCTAACATTGACATTCCATCCAATGGCTAGCTGGTAAATACATTCCTCAAGATCAATCTCTGTCTGTTCAGTGAGCTGATCTAGAACAGTAATGAGAGTGAGAGGGGTCTACAATTGTCCTCAGTACCCATAGACTTGAAAGCGAAAAGATCATCCAAGAATGTAAATTGAACCTGTGACTTTCCCAATCAATATGATCTCTGTTTTAAACAAAATAGTGATTTTACCAATTGAACCAATCATAGAAATGTTAAATTACAACAGTTTTAGCCAACATGCACTTTATTTGCTACATGTGCAAACTAAAGAATTGGACAGTCAATGTGACTGCACACCCCAAAATTTTCACTCCTTTTCTATTGAAGTCATTTCGACTTCGATGCAGTTCAAAAAATAGTGGTTTTGTGAGGCCATATTTGGGGCTTAAAGCTGCTAAGTTATACAAGGAAAAGAATACCAGGGGAGATACGCTGTTCCAGTATTGAAGTCCTGGGAAAGAATGAATTAGAGTAGGACACGGTGCTTCAAACCTGGTCAGTGAGTACTGGCAGACTATTTGGCCATGGAGCCAATCATTGATAAATTCAATCCTCTCCTCACCAACATCTATTGCATATATTCATTCCAGCAACGGACCAAGGCAGGAGCATGAACCCAAGTAACCTCCCTAGCACAGAGCTGCTAGAACCAAATATAACTTACCAATTGCAATCCCAGTTAACAGTCAGCTAACTCACATGTTATGGATTATCAGGTTGCTTTGATAACTTCTGGGAATTTCTTTCATTGAACTTTTGGAACTGATTTCTGTTTGCTTTTATCAGCCCCTGAGACACGTGGGCCCTTGCCTGCAAGCAGAGTTTGCCTCCTTCCCAACTTTATTTCACCCTGATCCCACAGAACAAACATGCAGCCAGCACAACAACACATTGTCCAGCAGCTTAAAAACTGGAATGCTGAATAAACAGTAAATACAGATACACAGTGAGCAACCCTCACGCTGCTGAAGCAACGTGTACAGTTGCACAGCAAATAAACAGGGGATCAAAAAGTTACAAGCACACTGAGTAGCCTTAACTGAAATTTAAAATTTCAGGATCTCTATACAGTTAATAGAGGAAGCAATGTCATACCAGAAGATGCGACCAGTATTTCTAAAATGCTTAGTCAGATTTTCACCAGTCTCCAGTGACTCCAGGTTCCTGTTAATTGGGTGCTTTACAACAATAAAATTACATTTGTACAGCAACTTTCACATCGGGAGGACGTCCCAAGGCGCTGGACAATCAATGTTTCGGACCCGAGTTGGGGTTCGGGATCGGGCAGAGTGGAGGGCAAGGAGCGAAGGAGGGTGACCGAAGGTGAAGAGGGTCTTGAGACAGGTCTTGAAGATGGCAAGAGAGGGTCGAGGCGAAGGGACTACGGGATGGAGTTCTAGAGGGTGGGGGCAGAGTGGCAGAAGGCCTGCCCACCAATGGTGGGGCAGCGAGGCAGGGGACGTGAAACAAGCCAGAGCCCGCTGAGCAGAGGGAGCAGGCAGGTTGGCAAAGGGTTAGGAGGTCGCAGAGGTGGGGGGAACAAGGCCATGGAGGGCTTTGAAGGTGAGGACCAGGATCTTGAACTGTATCCTCTGTGTGATGGGAAGCCAGTGGAGTCAGGCAAGGATGGGGGTGATAGGGTAACGGAGCCAGGTGTGGGAAAGGACACAAGCTGCAGAGTTCTGGATGATCTGCAGCCTATGGAGGGAGGAATTGGGGAGGCCAACAAGTAGGCTGATTGCATAATCAAGCCTGGATGTTATGAATGCATGTATGAGGCCTGTGATATGTGATAGTGGCAGAGCCGGGCAATCTTGCGGAGCTGGGGGAAGGCAGAGCAGATCATGGGCCGGGTGGGGTAGAAAGGATAGTTGAGGGTCAAACAAGATGCCAAGATTCCGGACTGGCTTATTAAGTAGAGTGTGCATCCTTGGATGGTGATGCTGTCAGCACCTTAAGTGTGGAGGTGCTGACGGAAGCCAATCAGGAGAACCTCAGTCTTGTTGATGTTCAACTGTAGAAGGTTAGCTCTCATCCAGGACTTGATGTCTGACAGTACTGGCTCTTCCACTGAATTTAAGCACTCTAATCCCATTCCACTGCTTTTTCACAATAACATTCAATATAATTCTGCTCAAGAATTTATCCAATTGCTTTTTTAATGCTGTCTTGACTTGATATTGTCATTTATGGTAAAACAACCCTCCATAGAAATAAAATCTTTTAACTTCCCTCTTTTTTCTTCTGGTGATAATCCTCAGTATGTGCTTGGTTGCAAAAGCTAAGGGGATATAACTAAATATGGTCACCTTCTCTGCATTATTGAATACAGGAAGTATGCGAATGTGGTTGTGTACCTAATCGTTCTCCGACCTTTTACAAAAGAATGGTTTGTTCCTTATTTTTTCTTCCTTATAACTCTAGCACTTGATGTTCGGGGAAATCTTCTTTTCCCAGAAAATCAAAAGAGATCTGGAAGAATAGGGAATTAAAGGGACGAACACTCATCAATGCTGTCCCACTCAGAAGACCATCAGAATAGACAAAATCCAACTTCACCTTTAAGAGACAGCCTGCGAAGACTATGAAGCCCTGAGCATGAAGATGCTTGGCTAAGGCAAATCCAAATCCTGTATCACAACCTGTGATAAAGACAGCCTTGTGTTCAACCTGGAAGAGAGAAAAGGCAAAGCTAAATGCTCCATTTTTTCCAAAATGTCCATGACAATTTACTGTAAGCCTCACTCACAATCATTTAAATCTCCTTCTTTGAGGCAATTCACCAAATTGGATTTAACTTCTCAGAACAACAACAAACAACTTCTCAGAATAACAACAAACAACTTCTCAGAACTATTAATATATGACTGTTAAAATATTTTTTTCTAATCGCACAGGATCCTCAGTGTATTATACACCCCACTTCTCCCTTCCCATAACTTCAAGACAACACCAACTTCCAACTTTCTTCACTTGGACGAGCACAAAATCAACCGCCAAAAATTAATGTTGCTGTAAATTGACAAATGTAGTTCACTTGGGCATTATATGCAGGTTACAAAGAGGCATTTTACAACACCACAGTGGTTCAAAAGCTAGCTTCACAAAAATAGATTAGCAACATTGAGCTATTTGTATAATTATTTTAGCAAATTGTGATTTTGGTTTTGCGTTTCATGAGGCTTTATAACGACACACATGACATGCAAATAATATAATTTATGTTATCATTGGCATGGTTGGAAAACAAAGCAATTAACAAGTATCAACACATTTTCCTTTAAAAGCTTTAGACAAAAAGGTTCAATGGTAGCTAAATTTTTCAATACATCAACACGTAATGGGATTTAATGGGTTTTGCTCACGCAAGATTAGCCTCAGCTGTATGAACTTCAACTTTTAGTTTACTAACAGCAACTCAGTAGCTTATAAAACTAACTAACAACAAATAAAGTTATCCAAATGTTTATCAACTGTTAACAGTTATTTGATTGCTATCAGTCATATTTAAGTTGAATCCTGGTATGTGCTACCATGCTGATCTCAGGCAGAGAGGCAAAATTCACCTCAACATCCATGAGTTAGGAGGGAGGCAAAAATATCACCGAGGGTTTGTGATCACTATTTAGTTACTTGCTTTCCCAGAATTTCTGATCATTATTTAATTAATTTCTTTTGGAAAGTGTCGTGTGTGAACGTTGGGTGAAGCCAGGGTCAGCTGTGATTGTCCCTAACAATAGCATAGCCTTCTGATATTGACTTGCTGGGTTCACATATGATGAATGATCACTTGGGTGAGATACTGGGAGAAATGGTATCAAAGTATGAGTCAATGCTTTCCGGAGAGAATACTGGAAAAAAATTATTATTTCGCAAAACATTTCTAGGCACTTATTAAACCAGGAAGTTCCCTTAGAAGCTATTATCTAATATTATTTGTGTTTTTGCCCACAAAATATACAGTCAGTACACTTTATGTGGGAGTTCTGTATCTCAGTGGTTAGAGCACTCACAAGCGAGACACCTGAGTTCGATTCTTGAAAGGGCGAAATGTTGGGCAAATTTCCTTACTCCACACCTTACGCCTCGGTTTACCCCACAGTAAGTAAGAACCTGGTTGATAATTGATTAGCGGATCACTTTATCGGGGATAATAATCCCTTAAAAAAACACTAATAACTTGGTGACTTCAATCCATGACTGTTTGTAGGACACTGCTGCGTGCAATTCACTGCCGCGTTTTGCCCACAAAATATACAGTCAATTCACTTTACAGTATATTCTGTGAAGCGCTTTGAGCCATCCAGACAACGTGAAAAGCCCTATATCAAATGCCAGGATTATTTATTATTATTTTACGGTGTATTCGGTGATGCACTTTTGAGACGTTTCCAAGACGCGATAAGGCCCTGTATCAAATGCAAGGATTACTATTATTAGTATTATCATTATCAAAATGCACTTTGAAAAAATATCAACACGAAGCTTGTGGGAGCCTCTCGGCGTAATTTGACAATTTGTGCTCGGAATCAGCACAGCCCACCGGACCAGGTGCGCCGCGGCCGCGGCCGCGAAGAGGTGGCGTTCGATAGTGCAAGAGCACCAATCCTCACTCGCGAAAAATACACAGTCAATTCGCTCAGCGGCGGTATTCCGCGAAGGCGCCTTTGAGACGTCTCGTAAGACGCGACAAGGCCCCGTAGCGAGGGCGAGGGCGAGGGCGGTCACAAGAAATGAATGGAACCGACTGTACCTTCACCGAGCCCCTGGGCAGAGAGGGCATGGCCACGCACAGCACAAACAGCAAGTACATCAGCACGATACTGTGCGTCACTGTCTCGTCGGTGAAACCCAACAGTTTGACAGCCCAACTCAAGAGCTCCGGCAACCAGAAGCCCAGACTGAGGGTCAGCCCCATGGAGAACAGCACCAACAGGACCATCTGCGGGTGGGAAACCCTGGACATCTCGTCTCCCCGATCAGCCCTTCTGCTGCGCTGGATCAGAGCTCAGAGACCCTCTCCATCCATTGCGCACTCACTCACTCACTCACACTCACTCTCACTCTCTCTCTCACTCACTCTCTCACTCACTCACTCTCTCACTCACTCTCTCTCTCACTCACTCTCACTCACTCTCTCTCTCTCTCACACACTCACTCACTCTCACTCTCTCTCTCACTCACTCACTCTCTCTCTCTCACTCACTCTCTCTCACTCTCACTCTCTTTCTCACTCACTCTCTCTCTCACACTCTCACTCACTCACTCTCTCTCACTCTCTCTCTCACTCACTCACTCACTCTCTCTCTCTCACTCTCTCGCTCCCCCTCAAACACACCCCACACCCTCTCTGTGGATCCGCCCGGACAAGGAATGAGATCACTTCCGCGTGCAAATAGTTCAGCAAACGTTGTGCGAACGATTCTTTTAACCACCGCGCGCGCGCGCGCGTGTGTGAGTGTGTGAGTGTGAGTGTGTGTGTGTGTTTTTTTTAACGCAGACAGTTGTTGTTGTTGTTGTTGGCGGAGAGGAGAGGAGAGGAGGGGTTCAGGTGTCCTTTCCATCTGTCCGTCGGGGGGGGGTCTGTGGTGGCGTTGATCGACGTGAAACAGCAAATTAAGGGCATTACCGATTAAACCTTTTCCGAGTCGTGAAATGTAACGTCCTTTTCGACATTAAATCATTGTGAATGAAGAACTCACACCCCCCCCTCCCCCCCCCCCCCCCCCTCCCCCCCCCCCCCCCCCACACACACACACACACACACTTTGATAATACATCAATGTTAATTTAAATGGCTGGTGTTGCAGGAGAGTCGTGCCAAGCGTTTTCCTTTTTCCGTTCTTAATAATAATCCTTGCATTTGATATAGCGCTTTTCACGTCGGGAGGACGTCCCAAAGCGCTTCACAGAACAGACTGTAAAGTGAATTGACTGTATATTTGTGGGCGAACGCGGCAGCCAATTGCGCACAGCAATGTCCCACAAACAGTCGTAGATTGAAAATGACCAATTTATTATTGTTTTTGGTTTTGGAGGGATTATTATTAGGCTCTGTGTGGAGTAAGGAAACTTGCCCAAGGTTTCACCCTCTGCCTGGAATTGAACTCAGGTCTCTCACTTGCAAAGCGAGTGCTCTAACCACTGAGCTACAGGACTCCTACAGGATTCCGAACGACTTAAAAGAAATGTTGACCCGGGCGCGCGAGGGCTGAGCACGGTTGTCCTTCGTGGCACCTGTCCGTACCGCACCATCTCTTTCTTATCACTCTCTCGTGTTTCGGCCTTCAGCGACTCGGCCCCCGCCCTCTGCGACTCCCATCCTGCAGTCCCTCCGCCTCATCCCCTCCCTCGCCTCCTTCAAAGTCCATCTCAAGACCCTCCTCTTCGACCATACCTTCGGTCACCCTCCTTCCCCCCAACCCCCGATACCCTCCCCCCCCCCCCCCGGCTGCCCTCCACCTTCCCCGATCCCGACCCCCAGCTCGGGCCTGAAACACTAACTGTCCAGCGCCTTGGGACGTCCACCCAATGCGAAAGGTGCTGTACAATTGTTGATTAAAGACGGGGAACTCCAGGTTTTCAATTTGAAAGTGACTTGCACCACCTGGCGGTCTGACTGTGAAATAGTGTTAGCTGATAACCATTGATTTGCAGTGCTAAGATTATAAATATACCCTGGTCTATTTCTGTGCTGAGTTGACTGATCACAGACCGCAAGGACACAACAATGCTAGTGAGGCAGAGGGGAACCATCAGCAAACCTAAGCAAAATAAAAAAATTCTAGCCTCAATAGACAAAGTGTACAAAGTTCATTACTCTGAACAGATCTGGCCTCAATTATGCTTTTTTACCAAGGTAGGTTTAAAATATATTCTGACTTGTTATCCACGCTTTTATCAGCTCCAGGCTTGACTATGCTAATTCCCTGCTCGTCAGACATCCCAATTTATTCGCTAATAATCAGATAGGACTATTCCGAACTCTGCAGCTCATGTCGTCTCCTCCATAAGCCTATCAACTCTACCCTCGCTCGGCTCCACCTATCTCTGTGACCACCGGCTCACTCTGCTCGGCAGGCATTGGCCTGAAACTCCTTATGTTCCCTAAAGATTATGTTGGTGGTACAAATTAATGAGAGTTTTAAGTTTCCCAACTTCTTTTTGGCAAGCTTTCCAGTTGTTGTCCAACTAGGACTACCATTCCTATATATGGTTTGGGCTTCGAGGGTTAACAGGAGCTCTGTGGGAAGAATCCCTGTCCCCAGTCTGCCTCTCCAAGTCTATCGGTGAGCCAGGTTGGCTGTCCTGTCATCAGCAGTGCCCTGGAGTACTGTGGACTTGCCTGGTTCAGGATCCGGACTACCGAGACCACCACAGACCGTTGACTCAATTCTGACATTCCATTACCAAGCATGTCACTTTGGAGCCAGTTCGACTCCAAGGAGATCCCACTTAGCTGCCTCCTCCAGGGAATAGTTCTAAGTGACATGAAAGAAAGTTAAAAAAAAGCTCCAGGAACTCTTTCTCTGTTTTCCCTTTATACTTAGTAATAGAGTAATAATCCTTGTATTTGAGATAGCACTTTATCACGTCACCTGGACGTCTCAAAGCACTTGACTGGATTTACTGCGAATCGCAGTGACTGGTATTTTTGAAGGCTAACGGGGCAGCCAATTTGCACACACAATGCCCGCAAAAATAACTATGGAGCGAATGACCAATTTTATGTGGGGGAATTGTTGGCCAGGATGCAGGGGAAAACTCTCAGCGAGTTTTTTTTGGCTTTATTTGCTGTCTGTCCGTCCGTCCAACCTGTGGCTCTGGGGTCTCAGTGGACCTTTCCCTTGTGTGTGTGTGTGTGTGTGTGTGTAAGTTTGTGTGTAAAAAAAAATCCTTCCGTTATGTCAATCCAATGGGGGTCATTGCGTTGAACAGGTTGGCTGTCAGTGCCACTGTGAATGCTGGGGATAACCTGCTCTCCATTCCCCCAGACCCAGCGAGGGGAGGGTGAGGGGGTGAGGGGGCGAGGGGTGAGGGGAGGGTGAGGGGTTGGGGGGGGTGAGGCGGGTGAGGGTGAGGGGTTGGGGGGGGTGAGGGGGTGAGGGGTTGGGGGGGTGAGTGGGGTGAGGGTGAGGGGTTGGGGGGGTGAGGGTTTGGGGGGGTGAGGGGGGTGGGGGGTGGAGGGGGTGTGGGGGGTGGAGGGGTTGGGGGGGGTGAGGGGTTGGGGGGGTGAGGGTGAGGGGTTGGGGGGGTGAGGGGTTGGGGGGTTGAGGGGGGTGAGGGGTTGGGGGGGGTGAGGGGGTGAGGGGGGTGAGGGTGGGGGATGAGGGGGGGTGAGAGGGTGAGGGGGGTGAGGGTGAGGGGTTGGGGGGTGAGGGGGTGAGGGGTTGGGGGGGTGAGTGGGTGAGGGTGAGAGGGTGAGGGTGGGGGTGAGGGGGTGGTGGTGGTGGTGGTGTGGGAGCGCAGAGCGCATGCTCAGACATCCTCTTTAAGGCGAGGAGGACGCGTCACTGTAAAGCCTTTGGGTGACCTTCAGAGGCTGCGCCGAGTGCCCCTCCAGAGCCCGCGATCATGTTCTGTGTGAGGCGGAGAGCAGCCCTTCTCCCCTGGAGGTAAGAGCCCGAGCAGACCCGTCCCCCTCTCACCGAGTCCGGGTGTGGATGGAGCCCCTCCACCACCGACCTGATACCTTTCCTTGTTACTGGTGTTTCTTTCCAGGGCTGAATATGCCAACAGGTGCTTCCTCTCCCACCCCCACCCCCCCACACCCCCTCCACCCCCACACCCCCACACCCCCACCCCTCCACCCCCACCCCCCCCCCCTCCATCCCCACACCCCCCTCCACACCCCCCTCCACCCCACACCCCCCCTCCACCCCCCACACCCCCCCTCCACCCCCCACACCCCCCCCTCCACACCCCCCTCCACACCCCACCCCCCTCCACCCCCCCCCCCCTCCACCCCCCACCCCCCACACCCCCCTCCACCCCCACACCCCCCCTCCACCCCCCACACCCCCCCTCCACCCCCCACCTCCACCCCTCACCCCCTCCACACCCCACACCCCCCTCCACCCCCCCCCACACCCCCTCCACCCCCACCCCCCCCTCCACATCCCCACCCCCCCCCTCGAGATAAAAGAGAGTTCCTGTCATTCAGTTTATGATTGAAGGTTATTCCTCGTCTTGAACTTGTTCTCTTATAAAAGGGAAGAGGAGTGGACGAGTGTGTGTGTGTGTGGGGGGGGGCGAAAGGAAGATTTAGGAAGGAAGGAAAGTGAGTGAAATCTTCACTCTCTCTCCCTCTCTCCACCAATTCTTCCCACGTTTCCACCACAACCGCCACATGGAACTGAGAAAGAAAGTGTGGGGTTTAACCGGTTTAATACTCTATTTGACTCTAAATGATCCTTTTTTTTTGTGGGGGTGGGGTGGGGGGGGGGTGAATGATTGACTGACTGACTGACAGACACAGAGAGACAGTAACTCGGGGAGAATTGTAACTGGAGAGTTTTTTTTTGTCTTAATTATTAAAAAAAAGAGGAAGAGCTCAGGGACGTGAGCGGTAGACAGACCATGTGTCCAGACAGACACCACCAAATACAGCGACACCATTGACATGTTGGAGCTTTTGGCCATTTCAGATCAGCGGATCAGATCACTTTCCACCGTTGAACAGTTTATAATTCCCCCCACTCTCCCCCCCCCCCTCCCCCATCCCCGCCCCCCCACACCCCCACCACCACCAAAAACAAAATCCAACCTTCCAGTTTAACGTGTTATTTTGACAGAATCCAGATTCGAATTTTTTTTTTAAAAAAATATGACTGATTCATCCAGGTTCTGTTTTCTCATCTGAAGTACCGGACTCTCTCGTCTAATATAATTGGTGTGTATTTTTATCTCCCCCTCCCCCCCCCCCCCCCCCCCCCCCCCCCCCCCCACCCCACCCACCCACTTCACCCCTGATGTGCTCGTTTTTTTTGCGCTCTTCTGGTTGCTAAGTTCACATGGAGTTCCCCCCCCGGACACTGTGGATAACGAGACCAGAGACGTCCAGGTTCCTGATCCGTAGTTGTCCCCAGAAGGTCAGGCATCGACATTGGCATTGCAGCACAGTCACGTAAAGTGACATATGAGTCTACTACTACCGTCCCTACTCTCGCTGTGGCTTCAGTGAAATCTGCTGAAAACCTCCCCTCTGCCGGATGCAGGAGCATAAACAAGTGAAAACATGTGGGTTAATCGAGTCTTAACGAAAACGTGCAGTTCTGCACAGCGAGTACATACAGTCAGCCCCCAAATTATACTCAGCTCAGTGACTTGTCGTATTGCCCAATTCTCTCGTTTCCCGTTTGATATCTCTCTGGATTGTGGCCACTGGTTCAATGACGACTTACTTGTTCGTTGATCTGAATAAGGTGCCAAGGCATTGGGTACATTTTTCACTGATTTCGATCAGTACCCACCAGTTTTTGTCACTGTTGCCTACAAATACATGCGACGTGTATTCTGTAATGCCAGTTTTCGCTCTGAATAACGTGTCCTGTTTAACGCCAGCTCTGGGGACTATCCAGTCAAATGCTTGGTTAGTCGTGTACTGGAAGCTTGATAGGTCGGCCAGTGATTAAAATGTGTTCCTTCTCCTTATATATGCAATACTTTGCTGTTAAAGATTTTTTGTTGTTGTGAAATCTAGGTTGAGAGACAAGACCCTCAGTGCAAGGCACTAGTCAGGCTGATAGGAATAGGTGGGGAAAACAAGAAATGGTGGTTATTTGTCATCAAACCTGGGTTTTGAAAGCCAGTGTAAGAGGCAAGGTATTTTTTTATCTAAAGGTCTGGGGGAAGGGGGGTTGGGAGTGTCCCTAAAACTGCATTTAGGGAATAGAAGGAGCAGTTTGTAGCAGGTGTATGCCTGAGATCTTGGGAGGTAATACGAAAGTTCAGATAAGCAACATCAGCCTGGCTCAGTTGGTAGTAATCTCAGCTCTGAGTCAGAAGGTTATGGGTTCAAGTCCCAGGTCAGCACTTTGAACTCACAATCACACCAGACACATCAATACAGTGTTGAGGAAATGCATTGTTGGAGGTACTATCCTTTGGATCTGAGTTTCCTGTTCAGGTGGACTTTAAAGGCATCATTGAAAAGAGTAGAGAGTTTCTCCTGGCAAACGATCTCCCAGAAAACAAATTGTTTATTCACAACATTGCTGTTTATGGAGCATTGCTGTGCACAAATTGGCTGAGACGTTTGCCTAAAAATACATACACTGCAATTCACAGTAAAATCCTGGGAAGCACTTTGAGACATCTTGACCACATAATAAGGCACTATATCAAATACAAGGATTATTAATATAAATAAAAGCAGATCAGAGTGATTGGGGAGGGGGTTAGAGAGAGAATTTCAATGCCACAGAAAGATGATCCATCAGAACCTTAAAAATATTTGGAAAATTGCACTGTGTATCCCTTCAGCCCTGTTTGTTACTGTGGTTTCTCTGAATATCTTTAGTTTCCCTGTGTTTCAGTCGAGTGCAGGCAGCAGTTTGCAATGCAACTGGAAATCGTGGGGCTCGTGGATTTGCGACCAAGGTGGAAGCGGTACGTGGAGCAGTATGATAACAAAAGTGATTTATATGAAGAAGGCACTTTGGTCTTATCTTATCCCTCCAAAACACCCACCCTACTGTCCCCCCCACATTACAGCGTCAAGCTGTGTTTTAAATGAGTCCAGTGTCTTTGGCCTCAACCACCCTACCTGGCAACCTGTTCCAGCTGTTAATTACCCTTTGAGTAAATATATAATTATATTTATTATAAATATAATGGTGGATGTGTGCATCTTCCTTCAGTAATAAAGTTACTAACTTTATTAAAATAAGAATATCTCAAAGTTGAATGAAAGCTGGTTACTGTAAATTCCATTTCATAGTAGAAAATAATATTTTGGTTCCTTTACTTCCTGTAATCCAATGGTAAAGAGTAGCTTATTCTGTGTGACCACTCACAAGTTCCATTGCCTCATAAATTACTGTGGAGGTCGAGGTTGGAATGCAGCCCAGAATGATGGGACAAACCTTACTTGTTTGTAATGGAACTCAGTTTCTGGTGGGTATGGGCACATAGCCTGCACAAACTGACCTTAAAATCAGCTCTAAATTGGCAAACTTACTAAGAGGGGCTGAATTAGTCGTGCAAAATTAAATGCATCATACTGGTGTACTACATGCCACACCTCTGAAGTTGGGAGCTAAGTAAAGGGAGCTGTATTCCGAATTTAATGAGTCAAATGCATAAGACTCAACACCACAGCTCCATACAGATATATATGCCTGCACCATTCAATAACCTGCTGCTTCCTCACAATGAAATCTGAGCATTAAATTCATTTGATTATAAGAATTACAGTAAAATAGTTTATATCAGTAACTGTCTGCTCTAAAATCCAGACATGTCACCCTGAGCATTCATCCACACTTGCCCCAGCTCCTTCTTTCCTAATATCTGCTCAGCCTGCTTCCAGTTGGATGCACACACCAAACCATTAAGACATTAGAATGTCGAGGCTCAGAGAGCAACATTAAGGTCCATCTGACCAAAGTTTTTTAAAAAAAACCTACACCAATTTATCTCTCATACCTCTCAATCCATTATTTGGTTTTGTTAAGCATCTGTTCCACATATCCACTTGTCTGAATAATTTTTGGGAGCTTTTTGTCACGGTCTTGCAGTCAGGGTTCATGTCAAGTAAACTGATTCTATTTGCATTACCCAAGCTGGTTAGCATTTTAAGTACTGGATTTGTTCCCTCACAATTTTATTTGCGCCAATGAGTTCAACAAGTTCACTGTTGTTTTTCTTTAGAACTGCTTTTAAGGGCAACGTTTTGCACTTTACTACGACAATTTATCATTCTGGATGAGTGCATTTAAAGACATCCAACCAGGCTCCGAGGTGTGTTACCTACTCAAACAGATGAGAAAGTCTAGAATTCCCCAGTCTGTTCCGTTAGCTGACGTCAGCTGAAGTAGTAGTGAACGTGTCGAGAGCACAACTGACCTCGCTATCCGTGGCTAGAGAGGGAAAAAACAAGCAGGGTGCCTAATTTTGTTAAACTTTTAGTCCAATACATTACTGCCAATAATACTATTGAAATAGTCAAGTGTAGGGTATCTTCTTCAAAGATGTGGCAATCGTAAACTGGTGTTCGACTTCGGCTTTCTGCGTAGTAGCAGCCTTCTGCCACAAGAGGCTGCCCTTTAAGAAATTTCAACATTAGAGCTTTGTCTAATAGTAAACCACAGGTATTGCAAGCATTTAATCTCCGTGAATGCTCTTGATCAAAAGATGTGTTTCCTCCTCTCTTCTTCCTTCTCCCCAATTGGGAAATGGTAGGAGAGACTCAAAGAGAAGAAAAATTATTACAAAACGCATATTATTAAAAGCTTATTCAGTAACTTGTTTTATTTTTCTATTAAATGCAGAATAAGGACAAGAGCATCTTAATCACAGGATGTGACTCTGGATTTGGGTTCGCGATAGCCAAGCACATGCATGAACAAGGGTTTAGGGTATTTGCAGGATGTCTGCTGAAGGTAAGGGTATTCTCTTTTGACAAGTACTATTTAATGTATGGTCCAAGGTCAGAGTGTCACAAGAGAGGAATATATTAGCAGCAAAGGCTTGTGAAGAGGTTCATAAAAGTCTGAGCATTATAATGTTCATTGTTATCAAGTAACATGGGAAGCATTTGCCGAGATTTGGAAAATTATTAGAGAATTCAAGCTCCCCTGTTGGTCTGGTGGGTAAAGGGACGCCAGTACTGAACCATCTGGATTGGAAAGGCCTAGGTTCTTTACTTGGTCTGTGCTGATCTCTGACTGCATTTGTTTATTTTACTTAAATCAAGATAGGTGACAGCAAAATCTAGCAAAGTGTTGCTGGCCCCTCTCACTGCGAACCAGCCTCACCTGCAGAGGTTTCAGTTGGGAAGTTCTTGTATCAGAATTCTACTTATTTGGCAGACCTGAACCTTTTATAGACTCTGCTCTGATGCTGACTTTATTTCCAGGATAAAGGTGGAGAAGGAACAAAGAACCTAGAGGGCATGGGAAGTGACCGGATGACTGTCGTCCAGTTAGATGTCTGCAAAGATGAGGAGGTAGCACAAGCGGTGGAGTTTGTGGGAGAACATTTAAAGGATCGAGAGAAAGGTCAGTGGACCATAGAGCCAAGTCATACAGTTTATTCGGGTTTCCTAGGAAAATGCTACCTGCAGACATTTTTTAAAAGCTTGACAATTTTGCAAGTCCTTTCACTTTTTAAACAATGTTTCTTCTTAGTATTTCCACCCAGGGCTGGTTTTCAACAATATCCTCCTTCCTTAAGACAAGAGGCAATGATGTTCCCTGTAACGCCCAGTTATAGATACCAAATGGTCATCTTTCCAGCATAACCACTGGCATTCATTGTCACATGCCCGATTGACCTCATTCTATACTTATCCAATGTCCATCATGCTCTCTCCGAGTAGTAATCACTGCATAGCATTGAGGAGTGGGAAGCCAGCCAAACTTTCCTCTCCCTAGTCAGGTTTGCTAAGGCCGACTGTACAGCCCCAAATGAAATCAGCTCAGCACAGATCAAATGTCCAATCTAGATCTTAGTATATCTTAGTTTTACACTATGGAATGGCTTTTATCATCAGCTGGTAAGGCATTACATGGGGACATTTTAACCTGGTATTTTGAATATTTCTTCAGAATTATGCTTCACGATAAAGGCCATTTGGCTCAATGAGTCTGTGTTGGAGATTCTCTTCACATAATCCAATCTAATCTCACTTCCTATTTGACCGAACATTTTGAAAGACTAATTCCTTTTTCTTTATCAGGTCTTTGGGGAATAATCAACAATGCTGGCATCTCAACCTTTGGGGAGGTGGAGTTCACCACCTTAAAAACGTACAAAGATGTTGCAGAAGTGAACCTGTGGGGAACCATCCGTGTGACCAAGGGATTCCTGCCATATGTCCGCAGAGCAAAGGGTCAGTGAAAAGTTTCTTAACTACTGTATGTGTTGGAGAATCGTTGATGTTGTTGAAGGATGTATAAACTAGGTATGACTGTATCCCACATTGAGGGAGTGTAACTTGCTCTGATAGTACAGATTGTGTTCTCCAATATGCCATTTTGCTCTCATTGCACTTTTCCTCAAGGGTGTTTGCTGGGCATGTTTAGAGAAGGGTTACCAAACAAGTTATTCATAATGGATCAATGGAAACAGGAGCAACAAGTTTCTAGCACTCAAATGCCATCTGTCATTTAAGAGTTTGGCATCATAAATTCATCAATTCATTTTATCCCAACGAGAGAATTTTTTATGATATGCAGCATTGGAATGGAACTGGTGGGGGAAATAATTTGTGGTGAATAGATTAAAAGCATCACAAGATGCACAAATGGCCTAAGAACTGGAAAGTGTAAACTGAGAAAGGCCATTCACTCCTTTCACCAACAAACTAAATCTACCGTATTGTAGACTTCACCTACTCACTCTAACTCTTGAGTGAAAGATCAGAATAATTTACCCTGAACCCCAAAGGTAAGATAATTTGCAACACAGTCACTACACTTTACAGTAAAATCTTATGTTGCGCTTTGAGTCATTTCGACATACGGCACTAATGCAAGGATTATACACACAAGAAGAACACAATAGTTTCTGTTTCCATCGATCACTGTTGTACTCAGCTGAAGAATACATGATATGTGCTTGAAGGCAGGCATGATTGCTAACAATAGTACAGAGTTTTCACCTTTTTTTTTCCTTGTACAAAGGTCGTGTGGTGAACATCACAAGTATGTTGGGGCGGATGGCTAATCCTGCGCGCTCCCCCTACTGCGTCACCAAGTTTGGCGTGGAGGGCTTCTCGGACTGCTTACGTTATGAAATGCATCGCTGGGGTGTTAAAGTTAGCCTCGTTGAGCCTGGCAATTTCATATCCGCAACCAGCCTATACAGTCCAGAGAGCATCAAAAAAATCGCAGACAAAATGTGGGATGAACTTCCGGACATTGTCCGTCAGGATTATGGGAAGGAGTACTTTGATGCACAAGTGGCAAAAATGAGATCATATTGTAACACTGATGTGTCTGATTTATCGCCTGTCATTAATAGTATCTCTCATGCACTGACCGCTGAAACCCCATTCACCCGCTACCATCCTATGGATTACTACTGGTGGATCAGGATGCAGATCATGACCCATCTACCGGCTGCTATTTCTGACCGGATATACATACACTGAAGTGCTAGAATACAATCTCTGATTTTTTTAAAAAAAGCTGTACCCTCTGATTTGATGAAAGTCTTCCCTCTCTGCTGGCTGATGTTTATGTAGTTTTAACCCAGATCACAAGATAGGTTTGGATTTAGAAGGCTCCTCTGCTCATTTCATCTCATCCTTCCAGAATAGCGAATCTACCATTTTCCCATTCTAGCATCAATGCGTTTCTTAAATTAGTTCAATGGCTCTTAGTAATCCATTACTGCTAGCTGTTGGTTACTCTCTGTGAGGGCTCATAGTAAAACAAAACCTAACTCAGATTGGCCACAATATAAGTGTGAAAAACTGAAGCTGTTACACTGGTTCAATACATAATGCTATTTTGAGATGTGCCCCAGGGGGTGGGGTTGCATTTATCCACGTTATGCCTGATCGGAGAATGCTTGATGCTGACAAAGACTACCTGAAATGGGGAAATGTGTCAATTCCCAGCGCTGATATCCCTTGCTGTGATGAACACACAACTAAAAATTGAAGAGCACAGTTTTTTTTAATTAATCTAAAGAGATCATGGTAGTGATTGAAATACAACTTCAACTTGCATTTATATAGCTCCCCTCATGCAGGGGGGCAACCCAGAGCGCTTGAAATACACAGCTATGAAATACACGGTTATGTTAGAAATGTTCCTCTAAGGTATGCTCCATTCATATTGGAGCCAAAACTTTGAGGTTTAACCAATTTTGATTGCACTGTTTAAATATATATTTTTCAAAATGCACTATCTTTGACAAGTTCCTCTTTGGGTCAGATTATTGGGCATTTTGGCGAAAGGTTGATTGATTTGCGTCAATTTTGTTTGTAAAATTTTGTAAATTTTCCTTTAAATGTAATATTTCTGTAATATTTTAATAATAAATTAAAAATCACATTTGTCTTCATTCTAATTGAGGTACTTTCTTATTTAAAAAAAGGGCAAAACAAATGCTGTAGATATTATCCATCGGATGAGTGATGGAGAGTCAACAATGGCTGAAGCCAAAGTGAGACAGAGCAAGCTTGGGAGAATAACTCCTAAAGGGAGCAGCCATGGGTTGCTGATGTGCCAGCTGCTGGTTGTTTTCTTTGCTCAAATCAGCAATGGAGCTGCTTTATTTACGTTGGTAAATAATCTGCTTTGTTGGCAGTGTGCTAATGTGACCTTGCTGGTGGTGTTCTTTGCTCTATGCCAGGTGTTTACATTTGAAGGTGAGCACCGGCTCTGAGACTTTAAATTGGTGGGGAAACTCAGCAGATCACTGGGTGATTGCTCATACTTTGACTTATGGACCTGGGTAACATCCAGCCAAGACTGTTGGGATGGAAGTTTCCTCCCTTTTCTGATGATGGGGTTGGTTGGAAACTAGCCAATGTAATTTATAACCTGTTCTTAGATGCACAAGAGTAGATCAAACTGACTTGGCTTCCAATACCTTCTGCCTTCTTGTAGGGATGTTCCAGCCCTGCACTTTCCAGAGTACTGTAGTATGGTTGAATGTAGGGATCTGAATTTATAAGTAATAGCTTGAGCCTGTTCCTTACTCCTTGTGGGAAGTGTATTGGAGTTTGAGCACAATTGATTGCATTATTCCAGGTAACCTGTTGCTAACTAGCTAACTAGCTTCTTGCAAAAATTCTAGCACAGAATCTCCCCCATCTGCTAACATTTGCTGATTTTAAAATTCCAGACGAACATTCAGTCAGTCCTGCCACGTGGCAGGTAATAGCCTAAGCCAAGTTTCTGGCAAAAGATAAAATACACCTTCTGCTTCCAGCCAAAAGCTTGTGGCAGCCAAGATTGAAGTGCTGGTGGAAAATTCCCACTGCATTATGAGCAAGCTGAGAGATAATGGACAGAGGTGGATGGGGGGGAAAGGAGAAAAAAACATTTCAAAATTATTTTCAGTAACTGTGAACATGCTAGCTACAGGTATACAAGTGTTTTCAGTTCATCGGGTTGTTTGCTTGCTCACACACTGCAGTCTTTGTGGTTTAATGTGGCAGGAAACTTGGACTTTGAATATTTCATTGCTGTTGTCTGTTTGCTCTCGACCATGACTCGAACAGAAGATAGCTGTTCAGATTTGTAACCATTTAACTACTGTATTAATTTATTGTACAAACTAGATAATTTATATATGTGTGTATATGTTTAATTTTCCAAACATAATTGCTGTGTGCAATTGAATGTTGCATTTCGCCCACAAAACATACAGTCACAGTGTATCCTGTGAAGTGCTTTGAGACATCAAGAAGACGTGAAAAGGCCCTATATCAAATGCAAAGATTATTATGTGAACATGAGAAAATAGTCTGAACTGGCCAATCTGCAACTTCTATAGACCATGTGCAACTTACCCTAAACTTTACCATCAGTGTTGTTATGGTGAACTAAAACACTATTCTTACAACTTAGAAGTATTTTAAGGATGCATTTTGTATACCAGCTCCTCACAGTGTTTTTTCCATCTATATTGGAGACATCTCACTTTGATACCATTTTTTTAAAGTGTTATTATAGATTGATAGTTTTGCTGCAATGTAATGCAGGAACCCCAGCAAACCTTTTGTTGAACTAACCCTCAAAAGGATTACAACAGTTCAGATCAGAAGGTTGTGAATTCAAACCCCACATCAGACTTGATCTCAAAGTCCGCTATTGTCAGATGTACCATCCTTCAAATGAGCCATTAAGCAAAGGTCTTGTCTGTTGTTCAGATGAATAGTAAAGAACTCCGAACACAATTTGAGAAGAGAAGGAAATCTCTTCTGGCAAGCAATACTCCAGATAAAATTAATCATTCACTTCATGACTGTTTGTTAGACCTTACTATATGCAAAATGGTTGCTCCATATACCTACAAATGTGCAATCACTGTAATTGACAACAATTACCTGTGAAACACTTTACAATGTCTCTATGTTATAGGAGCTATGATAAATGAGGACGATTAACAGATTCAGTCTAACCCACCCACCTGCTCACTTATTTCTAAGGAAGGTCTTGCTGCTTTGATATTTCCCAACAGCAGGGGGCACCTTTGTCTCACAAGTATCACCATTTTTAACTGAATGACAGCATTTTCCTTGTTCACTGATCTCAGCTCTGCATTCTAAAGCATCGACCCCCCCAAATTGTAATTGTTACAATTACAATGGGTCAGTTGCCCCTTTGATGTATTTGTAGCATTAGATTAATTTCCAAGCGATATTAGGACTTTATTCACTGGTCTATGTGAAGGCAAATTACCCGTCACCCCATTTGTTTTGTGACAGAATAGGAAAGATATCTTGTCAATGATAGTCTCACTTTAAATGAGGTCAAAACTGACACCCTTTTTACTTTAATTTTCAATCAGAAAGTTAGATATATGGTTTGTGAAGTCACTGCTCAACTCAATTATTTGGTCCAGGGGTAAGAATCCACTGGTACTTCAGTATTGCTGGTGCATTGTTTACTCATGATGAGGATAATAAAGGTTTACTCTAAGCTTCTCACCTCCTTCACTGCTGAATGTGTGACTTGTGCTGGAATATGGTGCAGGTCGCTCTCCATGACTTTCCTCAAATAGCCATTCCTTATGTTTGAGCCCAGACAGTGACTAAGGCTGCAAGTCACTGTAAAAGGGATCTTGTTGCGTGCACTGCACCAAACAGCACTGGTTATTCAGCAATTAGCACCACTTCATTAGTGCTTTTGAGATGAATAAAATGGCTCTTGTACAGCCTGGTACTTGTACTACCACAAACGACTGACAAACATTCAATTGTCCCTCAGCCCAAGACCTCAATGAAATAGCTCTTGTGTTTTCTTCTGTTGTGTCAGGACAAAACCATCTCTGACTCTTTTTGTACTTTTTCCTCCTTGCAATACTAATTGACAAAAGAACATGAACCACTATAGTACAGTAAGCAGCTCTTTGAACTGTTACTTTTTAATCAGTCAGCAAAAGTGATGTGGTTGAATCATACACAATTTAGATTGCTGGAAAGGTTTTCTTAAGAACATGAAGCCCGGAACAAGAAATGCTTATTCAGCCCATCAAGCTCAATCATTCCAGTCCCCATAAAACTTACTCTATAACGGATTTCACTCCATCCCTGCTGGTTTCTGCAGCACAGAAAGACTCCCTGATTCCCAAAAGTAATCAACCAAAATATTCATCCACTCCACACTAATCCAACCTGACCTTCCCCCTACAGACAACTTGCCCCTAGCCCTAAAAGCTTCCTAGCAGTTTCCAGTTTGTCCCTTGCAGGGGTTCAAAACTGTCTCATTGCAGTGATTAGACTCATTTAATCCCAGTTACTGAAAAAAAACATTAAATTGTTGATTTGTATTTGCATCAAATAACTTTTTTGTAAAAATATTTATGTGCTTTTCTTATATAAGGAGCATATTTAAGAATCTTACTTGGTAACAGGACTGGTCAATATGGAACTGTGTCATATAAACTAGGGAAGCTCCAAGTTTTTAGGTTTTCCTGCCTATCCAAAAGTTTTTTGTTTGCATGATGATGGAATAAGTTGCATGGCTGGAATTTTTAATTAATTTCTATATTGTTTGTCCTGATAACCTTGCGCTTGGGAGTTTGCTGCTAAGGATAAAGGAGTTGTAATAATGAGATGCTTTACATTACTGAAGGTGCACTGAATTAATTACTTATGCTATTAAACTATCGCATTCAAACAAATTAGTCAGCTATCTAAGTAAGCTGATGATGGAAACGTTTCTCTGCTTCCCTCCTCAACCCCATTACCTTCTTTTCTTCTCTCCCCATGATACACACTGTTTCCTTGCCAAACCTCATGATGGAGTCTCTTTTCACCCTGATAGAAAAGGCTTATGTTTGTCCCCTGCTGGTTGCAGGCGAGCATTAGATCAGAAGGCTTCCATGGACAGTCAATGTGCTAAAGATACACTCGATGGCTCAGTGAAAGCATTCCCCATGTAAATCTGGTCTATACAAACTAGAAGGGTCTTGAGGTTTGCTCTCTGCTTTGTGTAGTCGGAACACTACAATCAGGCAATGGAGGAAGGAGATGCCTTTAAAAAGCAGCTTGATCCTTTGATGAGAGAAGAGTAGGGTGAGTATTCTGGAGGGATGAGATCAAATGGACTGAAGGACCTTCTTCATCCAAACCAATCTTGTGACAATGTGAGAAGGAAAAAACAAGCAAGATTCCCAGCTCCTGATGTCTAATGACGCACACAACATACATCCCGCTGGAAGGCACTTATGTGTGAGAAAGAAGAACTTTTATATTTATAACACCTTATCACGTTGTCTTATCATGATGAAAGGTGTCATAGCTTCACAACTAATTACTGTCAAGTGCTATATCTTTTTCATTATGTAGACAAATCTGGTGGCAATTTGTGCCATCAAGTTCCCATAAATAGCCGTGCGAATGATCAATTCAACTTGAGGGTTGTTAGTCGCAACAGTGGGAGAAATTCCCTCTCTTTTTGAAGTATTATGGGAGTTTTAATGTCAACCTGAAACAGCCAGACAGTGG